GAAGACCAAGTCGACTGCTTTCGTATCTGCCCCATCCCTTGTTCACAATGTGCTGCGAAGTGCGTAGCGTGCTTCGGACCGTTCTTTCGCTTCCCGTTCAGCCCCAGATCTGCCAAGCCCGGATATTATTATGGACAAAGCCAGTCCAGAGGCATGATCAAAGAACGGCCCAAAGCAAATTCGTATCACCCATTAACCTTTCCACTCCTTTTTGCTTCCATAGTTCCAATCCAATTCTCGCATCATCTGTGCAGCATGGGCCCTCTCAAAGAACCTCGTTGACTCTGAGATCCTGAATGCTCTTGGGGAATCCCATAGTGCTGACAGCCGGAACAGCCGAATTGGGATTGTCGTGGAATCCAAAGTCCGCAAGGTGAACAACGAGGGTTTTGAGCTTCTTGAAGTCGCAGAAGTCCGAGGGCTTATAGGGCTCTTCGTCCTTGCGAATCGGCTTTCCGTCAGAGAGTCGGAACCGAAGTCGAAGGTCGACGAGAGATGCGGAATACGACTTCAGGCGGTCGATTGTCTCAGCAGCAGTGACGAGGGTGATCTTGTCCTCGAACTTGGAGTTCACGACGTACTCAAACTCTTCCAGTGGAAAGACGTCGTTTGTCAATTCAGACAAGACGTCTGATGTCATCGTGCAGTCGATCAAGGACACCTTCTTGCTGCTCCAGGTCTTTGGGAAGAAAGAGCCGCCAGCGTCAGCCAGTATTAGTTCGCAGTTCCTGAGGCAAAGATCCGTGACTGTCGAGGGCATGGACAGATTGTAAAGTAGCGTGCCAGAGAGACGTAAAGGTGTCTGGGCGTCTTCTCCGTAGATGAAAAGTTTCTTCACTTGCTGTAAATGCTCTCGAACGCACAAAACGAAGTCGTTGCAACCCCTCGTCTGAGAGATATCAGCCCTCCATCCGGACAAGGGGCGGCCTTCTAAAACCCGGATAGAGAAATGCAATGTGCTCAAGTTAGGCAAATGCGCATAGAGAAGGTTTTGCAACGCGCATTCGATTTTAAAGTTGCGAAGTCCGATCTCGTTGACGGTTATCTTGGCGGTTTCCCAAATCGGATCTCGAGGGATGAAAGTGAACCAAGGCAATCGATCCTTGACGGCGTTGGTGAGGAAGTCCCAGTTTTCAATGCTGCAAGGCGTGCGGTATTGCTTGTAGTCGCGCCAGTCCCTATTATCTGAACAGTATGTTTGAGCATAAGATATGCGTAGGCTTTGGACCTGCTGAGAGAGGGTGGGCTGAGAGACCAGGGCCCGGACCAGGAAGAAGAACTTTGCGTCGCTGCAATTGTTCGCAACAATGAAGATCCGGCGATACAGGTAAGGTTTCTCGAGCTTGTGGAAGGCCTTTGACACTCTGCAGATGCTTAGAAGGGTGCTCTGGCATGCGATCCACTCCTTTCCGTTGAGTTCGTCATCATTGCATCGGAGTTGAGAACAGATCTGTTCAAAGACCTCTACGGGTATATCAGAGATTCCCGTCATTGTCTTGCTGTAGGCTGTTCAATCGTGAGCTTCAATCCTTTGACTATCGGAGATGGTAGTAGGCACTGACAGGGAAACCATGAACAAAGTCTCTGGAAGCCGGCGACAATGTGTCCGTGGGATCACGACGCGTAGCAGAAACTGCTGAGTGGGAGGTGAATAGTGAATGCTATAGGGTAGAAAGCCTGACGATGGGAAAGTATGAGGGATTCCGTTCTGTCTCTGACGCAGAAAGATGTTAGCTTGGCCTGTCAGCAGCATCATGAAGGAATCTTGTACCTGAAGTAGGCTTCTTCCACCGTTCAGCTGCTTTCTTTTGTGGGAAGAATATCGATGGAAGACCGAAATACCTCGATGAGTCTCCCTGGTTGGAGATGTCGAAAAGAGAAAGGAGAGACTCGATGCGGTGTGTGATAGGGAAGAAAAGAAGGCCTCTCCTTTCCTGGGGGAAGGAAGTCAACGGCAAAAACAGTGCCTTCCTTAGGAAGGAACAGGTCCGGTTACTCCTACTCCAAGATGATTTATTGGAAAAGAATTTGGAAAGGGAAAAGCACGTGATACCAGAGACTGAATGAATACAGGTGTTTGTATATTCAGGGTGTAAAGGTGAAGCCGTGACATTGGATGGTTGCCGGGACAGCAAGCTGGTCTGTCAATACGGCCTCGAGGAAGGTGTGTCACTGGGTCTCTTCTGGGCGCTTGGAAAAGCAATTCCTCAAGTGACTGATTTTAAACTCCACTTAACTTACTTTCCGTGAATACGTAGGCCTTGACAATCAGGTGAGCTACTCAGAAGAGCTCGAATTTAGCTGTTAACCCGAAGATTCAATTCGCCAACGCATCAGAGTTCGCGGCGGTGCAAGGTGTAGGATGCTACTGAGAGGCTCCATCTTTGATAGCATCGTCAGTTCTATGTGGTGTCGGATGCTGTTCAGGCGTTTAACTACACCTCATATCCGTTAGCCCCCGCATGAACTTCCCAAATTGCTGTCGAGGTCTTCATGCTGGGAGTTTAAGCAATCATCTATGAACTTCTCCCGCATTTGAGTCTCTTGGATCGCCAGTTTTCTAACGTAAACACATAAACCAAAGCGGTATAACAACGGAATATAAGCTCGGAGATCGCCATGTACAGATCACGGCTGACACTCCGAGAGCATCGTGATATGATAACTTTTGAAGGCAGTTCCGGCCCTATCCCATTCTTCTTCTGACCAGTCTGTTGTTTCATGTCTTCATGCCCGAGTTTAGATCCCTTATCTTGTCATGTAAGCTGCAGGGCAACTGCTTTGGCGAAGGGAAACTTGCAGTGCTAAACAGAACAGGATATCATGCAGCTAAGGTATGGCTTATCAGACTTCAACCTCGAAGGGAAGGCGGTCTCAGTTGTGCCTTCCGCACGTGATGCTTCACCTTTCATCTGAATACACGAGAAGGGTATATACCCCCCTTCAATTTCGTTCCTGTCACCAGCCAGCAGGCGCCCGTCTAGGTCGACGGGTCAGGTCAAACTGGCTGGGTGGTGGAGTGGTTTATGGTCAACAATCAATTCGCCAACCAGCCTACTCGACGACAGGCTCAGCGCATACGAGTTCGAATCCCAGCACGAGCACCAATTAATCCCAGCATGAGCACCAAGAGATGTAGCCCCCAATTCAACACCGGGGGGGTGAACTCTTTTTTTTCTCATTTATTTTTTCCAAGGCTTCTATTATATTTGTAAATGAAATCTTGTGTCCGTGACCTTCTTAGAGAAATGATCTACTCATGGACAAACCTGCTAGCTGAAGAGGGCTTGGTTTTGTGTACGGCGGAAATTATATGCTGGAAAACACTGGGTTTGAGGTGTGTATAAGTCTGAAAGCTGTCTTTTGACCCGATTTCGACGTTAAGAAATCGAACGGAGCCTCTCCTCCTCCGTGTTGCACATGGCAGAGTACAGTCTCCCAGATGAGGTGTGTGTCTGAGCCCGTTGACATGACTAAGCGGAGAAAAATATGCCAAACCAGCTCCGATGACATAAGCCACGGAGGGCAAAGTGATTCCGGTTTGAGCACATTACATCCCTGCCTGCCGAGCCAGCATGCGTCCGACATCTTCAGTGACACGTTGTAAGTGATCCAGGAATATGGCGATACTTTACGTCGTTGGTCAGATGGCGTGGTGGAGCGCTCGGTTTGGAACCGGTCTTGAAGCTCCTTATCAGATCGAGACATGACGGATCTGAAGACAAGGGCATCCAGCTATAAGTACGGCTGCTGTCTGCGAATATACTTCATTCACTCCCCAAACCAGACCAGTAAATCCACTCAAGTCTTCAATAGTCGCGGAAATGGCCAAACTCTCTGCTGCTTGGGTTCGACTTGCTTCGAACGACCGTCTCAGGCGTTCATCGCAAGCAGTTTCGGTAATCGGGACTCAAGTGTTCGTCTTCGGCGGTGAACTCCTCCCACGAGAGCCCGTAGACAACCAACTCGATGTTGCTGAACTTCAGTCCGGGAAAGGCATTGTCCCATACTCACCCATTCATGCCCCAAACTTGCACCACTAACAGACCTTCTTCACCACAGACTCAGCCTCCGTCAAGACCATCTCCACCGACACCGAAGCCCCATCTCCAAGAGTCGGAGCCCCCAGCACAGCGCTGAAAGATGCCTTCTATCTCTTCTCCGGCCGCGGCGGCATCGCTATGGAGCCCGTCGAGGAATCTGGCAGTATCTGGCGATACACCCCATCCCAATCTCTCTGGGATCAACTCACGCCGACCGACGCAACGGCACCACACCCAGCCGGACGCAGCTACCACTGCACTGCCTCGGACGGTAACAAGACCATCTACATCCACGCAGGCTGCCCAGAGAAAGGCCGCCTCGCCGATCTGTGGTCCTTCAATATCGAGTCGAAGACGTGGAAGGAGCTCGCTGCAGCACCTCCTCCAGCGCGCGGCGGCGCGTCCATCGCTTTCTCTGGAGGCAAGTTATATCGCATCAATGGCTTCGATGGCACTTCCGAGCAAGGCGGTTCTCTTGATGTCTACGACCCCGCTTCCGCGGCTTGGTCTACGATTACGTACAAGCCAGATGGTGTCACAGGCCCCGAGGCGCGAAGTGTATCAGCGCTCGTCGCGGTTGAGGTGGACGGTAAGCCGCATCTTGTGACGCTGTTCGGCGAGCGCGATCCTAGTTCGTTGGGTCACGCTGGTGCTGGCAAGATGCTCTCGGACGTGTGGGCTTTCGACATTGTGGTCGGGACGTGGGATAAGGTCTTCTTCGAGGGGGATGCGCCGCCGCCAAGAGGTTGGTTTGATGCGGATGTGGTGGTAGATGGGAGCAAGCAGGCTGTGGTTGTTCATGGAGGTCTTGCTGAAGATAACTCGAGGTTGGGAGACATCTGGAGACTCGACTTTGTCTAGACTGTCACATCTTGATGGCCAGAGATCGTTGTTGCTAGTGTTGATATTTCTGAATTGAACTTGATGTAAGGAAAAGGATTTGGGCGAAGTAAAAAGCTACTCGACGTCCTTCACCATCCAGATTGATCCCTTCTCGTCGGTAGGATACACCCGGAACCCCAGCTTCTCGTAGAACGGCACGACCTTGTCGTTCTCACCACCGACGCCGATATGCACGCCCTTACCATAGAGCCTGTTCCCACTGGAGCCACCGTTGCGCTGATCGGCGTCTTTCAGACTCTCAACGAACTTGTCAATCAGCTTTCTTCCCCAGCCTTTGCCCTGCCATGGCTCCAGCAGGTCGATGTGCATCGTAGCCTTCCAGTTGCTCCAAAGCTCCTTTCGCTCATCGTCAAGCACCAGCCATGTCGGGTTGAATGCTTGCTGGAGGAGAGCCTCCTCATTCACCTCCCCCGTGTCTGGGAAGTTCCATGGCGCTTTCGTCTCGAGGCTCTTAGGCTTTCTTCCGTCCAGCTCCTTGGACGTCTCAAGGACTTCCTTGATGTACCGCGGGTACGCGCTCGCAAAGTCGTTCACGTTGGGGCAGCCAATGCAGTAGCCGACGCAGTTTCCCTCGCCATCGTCAAGTATGTGACAAGTCTCAGGAGATAGATGAGTATACTGATGTGTCCATAGGTAAGGCGCGGTCCTGGTCGCTGCTTCGGAACGCTCGAGGGACGGTGGGAGCGTGGCGCGGCACTGGGTTCATTGTCAGTCGCTGTGGAACAAAGATAGGCCAAGATAAGGAGAAGTGAGACGCACGATATGACCCGTCGCATCAAAGTCAGATGCCTTGTAGGGGCGTATGAAAGCCATGGTTGATGAGGTGAGCTGGAATGAGAGCCGTTGAGTTGAAAGTGAGAGGTTGCCGCTGGAAGTGTAGTGGTACCGGGGCCTGAATGGCCGGATGGCGGGGTAGCGGGGTAAATCGCTCCGGACCAGACTGGGGAGGATTGACCTGCTGCTGGAGTGACATTCACGAGGCATCTCAAGCCCGGCGATAGCAGCAAAACTCAAGAGATATAGCACCGTCTGTGTAAATGAGTGATACACAGCAGTGAGAACACAGCAGTGAGACTGAAAACCATCACCACAAATGATATGAGAGCATGAGAATGACGTCGGTCGGGGATCCTGTTCACCGGATGCCGTTCATTGAGCCTAGACAGGTATCTCGGCGCCGAAACAATCACCCCGCATTTCCGGTGTTCAATGGGGCTGGCCAGATTTATCAAGCTTCATATTATTCCGTGATCCCAAACAGGCCTCTTACGCATTTGATTGTATACGCGTTCTTGTAGTCGTCAATAGAATTATTGTTTCCAGATTGGTGATGAGGTCTACTTCAGGGTCTAAGTAGGAGACAAAGCCAGGCTTCGAAGTCACGGCCAAGGTTGTTCTTTCACAGATCGTTTGAATTGTGTGCAGTACTCTTAGCCCTTGTTCGAATTGAGCCATGTAATCGACATGTCATGTATCTCCTTGTCTGTCCTGGAGCTGCCTTCTACAGTTCTTTAGTCTGAGACCAACTACTCCAGCTTGTCTACGACTACATAAGGCCGAATGCCCGGTTGTCTAAGCCTTAAAACTCATAGTCCTCCAAGCATCCCATCCAACATGTCGCAATCAACGCCAACTCTCCAAAGCTGCTTCAAGAACTCTAGAGGGTCGTTCTATCGAGTCGAAAAGAAGCGCGTTCGTTTCAATAGCCAAGACCAAGTGCGCACCTTCCAGCGTCGCTCCGATGAACTAACAACTCCGCCCAGAACTCCCACCGCATCCAAGACCGGCTCAGGCTTCGAAGACGATGACTACATTGTCGACCTGCACCTCGAGCAAGCCAAAATTCACAAGCACATGTCTAGACAGAAGGCTATCATGGATAGAGACTTTCTCCGCAGGTTACTTACCCCCGGTACTGAGCTATGCCAGTTGCTCCGGCAGACGCTTTACCAGCGAAGGAAGAAGATGAATGCTTACTTGTACAGGCAGAAGAATCGACGCTCCCAGAAGCGTCAAGGTAGAGTACGAGGTAGATGCCGTGTCAAGAAGCTTCACTGGGAGTTTGCGCAGAGGGTCAAGAACCGTCTTCAGCGAGGTGGTCGGTACATTGTTTCACTGCTTCAGCGTGGCTGGAACCTCAACACCAGATATCGGGCTATGTGATGTAGACATTGTGATTTGGAATGATCTGGTTTGGGTTCGATTTCTCCCCTAAACTTCGTAGTTCAGAACAAAATTGAATATCGAATGCTCCGTTAAAGTATAGCAGCCCCATCAGTTGAGAGCTAATCACGAAACCTGACATAAATCGAAGCTGCCTACGCCTTGCTGGTCTTGTGCTTGATATCATTTTGATATTGTAATGCTGTAGTACTAGGCAGGACCAACATGACAAGTTCCAAGGAGCGTTCTGTACAACCATAGCATTCCTTTGCGTCCAACACGGTCCACCTTAAAGTAGTGAAGTGAAGGTAAAGAGTTGTGAGCTCTCGTGATGCCAAGAAACCAGAGACTGCCATCATCAAATATCGACTGTATCTGGTCGAATAGGAGGAACTTCTTCCAGAATTCAAATGAATCCAATTCTTGAGGGAATCTGTTTCGGCACGAGGTCACAGTTCGTTCCTTCCTGCCTTCGGGGAAAGACGAGCTTGAGGAAGAAGATATGGAAGTAAAATTTGGGAGGTACCTTCCACTTCTTGCTCCTTCCACACAAGATTTATTTTCGACTTCCTTCCCGTCGATTCTATTCTCTTCCTCCCCTTCCCTTCCCTACTTCTTCCTGACCCATTACAAAAGAGATCTTTTCTTTTCACCATCACCATCTTGTTTTGACCCTTCGTCAAACACCACAGAGCAGGACACTCGCGCATCGCCGACAGAGGATTGTCCCGCAGCAGCAAGATAAATCCAAGCATCATCCACCGCCCTCCTGTTGCCTACCCCTCAGCTAAGGTAGGGAGAGGTAGAAAACTCCCACTCTACTTAGAGAATATTGAAAACTGACGAGTTCATAGTATCAAGCCAGCCGTCGACCTTGTTCTTTCATATCCTCCCGGCCGTGCAATCATCGCACTGTGTCACTCGTCCATCATGGCATCGATATCGAGCCTTCCTCCCGAGATGCTGGGTGAAATTGCCGCATGCTTCCAAGATGACACCCCATTGAGTGTAAAGAAGGACTGGAAAGCCGACCAGAAGACGCTCGCGATTCTTTCTAGGGTTTCTAAGTCATTCCAATATGCAACGCAACCTCTTCTCTATCGCAAGATCTATCTCGCCGTCCGGGACCCAGCCGGCCTCGACATCTTGTCGTTGATCAAGGTTCTCTATCATCGCAAGGACCTCCGCTCCAAGGTGAATAAAGTTCAGTTACACTTTGAAAAAGCTTTGTCTTGCCATCTGGAGCGAACTATGGACGATGTCCAGAAACTCGATCATCTGGCTCGCGAAATTGGTCAGACAAGCCTCAGCCGCGCACTACAGGGCAACACAAATTGTCCATGGTCATACAACAATGTATTATCTTCGCTGCCTTTCCATCAGCTTCGAGGTGTATCTCAAGTCATGATCACTGGGCTGTGTGGCCCGAACTGGAACGAAGACTTTGGAGTTTTCAACCACTTTGACGATGCTTGGTCGGTCTTGCCATATCTCTTGATACCCCCCTCAGAGACACCGGAGGCTTTGCTTCCGAACTTGACCTTTCTTCGTTTGGACGCTCACTTAATTACAACCATCAATCTCTCAGACTTTCACTTGCTCACTCGTCTTGCATCCAACCTTAAGGAGTTTGAAGGCTGCGGCTTTGTAAGCGTCCCGGTCCAGGCTTTCAACACTTTCAAAAGGCTCAAGCGTTTGTCTCTTTCGGAAGCACCTTTTGTGGACAGCGACTTCCCAAACCAGGGAGAATTTCTCCAAATTCCGCCTGGTCTTCATTCTTTCTATTACAGTACGCGTTTCTCCTGGTTCCCGGATGAGCAGAACATTTCTCCGATGAGGGTCCGACGGGCGCTGGCGCAACATTCAGATACTCTGATTGACATTCACGTCCAATGCCACATCGAAATGGAGGAGCACGAGTGGTTCGATACCTTTAGAATGTTTCAAAGACTCGAGTATCTTTCGGTGGATCCAGCGGACTTTGATTTGAATTATCAGAACGCCTTGGACGGCCCAAATGCGTTTATCACCACATTACCTCGATCACTTCGAAGCCTAACCTTCCTGGCCCAGCACCACTCGGACTTCACGGACATCGAGTGGCTTGCCGACGCCGTTCACGAAGGGGACTTTGAAAACCTCGAAAGCTTCACCATTCATGTTCCATACAGAGACAGAGACTTCTTTCACAAGGCTATGAGCGAAATCTGGTGTGGGATCGATAAGCCAGAGTCTGGGGAGGACGAAGCTTCCTTCTGTGTCAAAGTGGTTTCTAAGACTGATTCGAGGGAATTTTGGTGTTACTGGTGATGGAACTCACTGTTTCAGTCTGCCAGCTTGGTACATGATCGAAGTTGCCTCGCCCTGCCCTTTACCCGGGACAGAAGGGGGGGAGGGGATAAGAACCACATTAGCAGAGAATACTTTGGTTACTTTCGGGGCCCCAGGCTTTATAGAACGAAAATAAATCAATTCTCAATTGCATAGCTATAGCTGTGAAGTAATTAACTTGAGAGGACGTGTGTCAGAAGATTTTGTTGAAAGCTAGCATCCATACCCCTAGAATGTGGACACATCTCTACACAGGTAAATTTTCTTAAGTAAGTAGATAGGTGCATGAGCTCATTACTGCAATATAACAACATGGGTTACATTGCAGCTATACCAGCCACTATGTCAAAATATCAATACGGGTTGCACTGCATGTATGTCGGTGGCTGAGCCATGCCAGCATAAGCAAGTGTGGTAGGGTCAGGCTGAGAGAGTGTCTGTCGTGCGATGTTCCCAAGCATGATTAAATGGCACTTCTGCCCCAACTTTCTGCCTCGAGTTTCTACTCGGGACTGCACTCCGCTCGGTTACTCATTCATCTTGCAATATGAATGGAAGACCAAGTACTTCACCCTGCACAGACGATGTGTCCGAAGTTAGCAGTGTCAATTCGTTGTCAATCCGTACATCCATTACATGCGTGCAAGAACGGTCATCTCGCGAGCATGAGGAGCCACGGGCGCCAACGTTATTCGACAAGCACCAAGCTACCAAGGTAACTTTGGACTACGACATACCGACTTGGAAAGTTCTCCCTGCGACGTCATTGATCAACGAGGCTGGCTCCCTGCTCAGTCAAGCGAGCCCACCGCAAGAGCCCAGCCGATGGCGAGCGATCGGCACTTTCGGACTCTACGTCCTCGGCATTGGCACTGTCTTCATCATCGGAGCTGTTGGCTTCATGAGCTTTTTCTGGAAAACTTCAATACAGGCTAAAGAAGTCGTTGTGCAAAACACATTATGGAGTCAAATCGTTTTCGCCGACTGGGCGTCTAGATCAATCACTCTGACGGCCGCTGCGCTGCGTGTTTGTCTGGCGCTCCAGATGAGCTTGTTCACCGCAATGATCGCCTCGCTCATGATAGAACGGACAGGGATATCTTTCAGCGCGGCTCCCTTCGTCTCTATGCTGAGAGCTATGCCTGCATCGCCGTACAGTCTGATCAGTTGGACACCTTTCGACATGCCCTGGGGCATTGGGACCGTTTACACCATGGCTATCACAACTTCAGTTCTCCTGACAGCAGCATCTCAGTTGGCCTCGACCGCCTTGCTGTCTGATTTCGCAGTGGTAAATGTGACTGCACCGCAAAAAGCCGTCAACATGCTGTACGGAAACAGTAGCGTCATAAACCCAACGGTGATGCAGGGCTCCAGCATCTGGAAGTCAAAGCCTTGGGTCTATCCAAGGTTTGCGGAACTACAAAGGCAGCCTACCGAGGCCCAGCAGTCCGAATTCTTCGAAGATACAGGGACTATCCTACGGGCATTCATTCCCTTTGCGAATGAGCCAAGCCGTAGTCGCCTGCGAAATTATGAAGGGCCCGCCGCTGTTGTAGACTCCAGAGTGGTCTGCGTCAGACCTGTCATCCGGAACGTCACATTTTCTGCGGTTGCCTTTGACTTCTCAAACGATACACGGCTAGAGACCTACAGCGAGTTCAATGTCCTCGGGCAGTTTGACATACAAGGAGGCTACGACCAGCTGCCGATCAACCGAGGCCAAAACCAGATAGATGAGCCAAAGTGGCCTTTCAACTGTGTGGTTCCCGCTGAAGATATTCATGGTTACTCCAAAGGCGAACCCCTCGCTTCACAAATTGACAACTTTTCGATCTGTTCAGTGGGTCGGGGAGAAAATAGGACATGGCCGGATGGGAAGAATTACACCATGCCATTTCTTCCCTCACCCTTTTCAGCACTGAACACTACCTACACCTCTATATTCCTTGTATTCAACGGCACTGGGACAATGCCTCAGTGGCATCAGGGTCTCCGGGTTCATGGCAACTTGAACAGCAGCACTAGCCGCTGGGAAGCCTCTGCCGACAAATGGATATCGACCTCGGACGGGATGTGGAATAGTGTTGACATACCATGGGAAGGACATGCCAAGAGAGTAGGTGTCTCGGTCACCGCATGCTTCGCAAACTTGCAGGGCCATGTGCAAAATGTTAGCATGTCCAGTAAGGTTGATGGCCACGAACCGATCCTAGCTTGGGACAGCCCGAATACCCAGTACACCACGAATGTCATTCGGGACCAGTATTCCAGCATCTGCAAAGAACCTCCCGGCGGAGACCCTAGCCCGGAACTACTCGAACTTATCCCGAAGAAAAGTTGGAAGAGTGAGGATCACAGACTGTCACTCGACGTAGTCACCTCTCAACTTCCTTTCATGACACGCAGCCTGCACGACCCCTTAATCGACCCATCGCCCTGTGGGATGCTACGGACGGGTGGATATTCCTCCCGTGCCGTTCATTACGCACATTCTGCGCTCTTTCAAGACGTGCTCAGGACGAGCTTGAGCGTACCAGAGGCACTACAGGCTATCCTCACAGTCACTCAGCAAATGTCTTACTACGATACCTTGCCTTACTTCCGGAATGCTTGGCCAGCGACGTACGCCATGACAGAGGAAAAACTGATTCCCGTCCGGTGGGTTGGGTTTGGTATCGTCGTTGCTATCATCGTGTTACACCTAGGCCTCGTTGCAGCTGCCTCTATTCTGTTTCTCAAGTTGACTACCTGCAGCAGCTTGGGAAATGTGTGGATGTCACTAAGCCAGATTGTGTCATTGGAGACGGAAGGTCTGATTCAGGAAGCTACATCGAAAGATGACAATGCAGTTGAGAAGATGATTTGGGAAGCAATATCCAAAGGTGATTCGGGGTTGAGGCAGAGGGTTAAGATAATGAAGAACGGGCTGAACGGCCGGAATGAGTTGAGCTCCTTCTAAATCAGAGATGGCAATGGTAGTGTTACAGATGGCAGAATCAGCAGAGCCTCAAAATAACGTGGGTAAGATACCCTCAATCCAGGTCGCCTTTCCGCCCTCTGACATGCAATTCAGACTTTACCTATTTGTCCGCAGTGCACGCATCATTCCTCATCCCTCTGGTAGGCCTCAATAAGTCTCCAAACAGTGGCTGACAGTAAGCCGGTCTTGGCGCACGCAGCGCTCGGTAGCTTGATTCAGATGCCACCCTAGGCGCGGGTACCTAGTTATGCTTGTTCTCACTCCGGGGCAAGGACTGTCCAATTAAGGGCTGGCTTTATTCTGGTGGCTGCGTAAGATGGGCTAGACCTTCAGCCCAACGTTGATCCCACCCGGGCGGGTCGTCGAAGGATCGTCAGGCTACAAAATTAGAGGCTGACATGCAGTAGATTCACAGACCTTGGAAGCAAGGGTGTGTCTGCTCCGTGTCCGTGTCCGTGTAGGAACATGTGGCGGAAAAGCTATCTCTTAAAATCTCTGTTCATCTCCTGCTCGCGTGCTCACGTTTCTCAAGGTTCAGGAAATTCGGGTAGGAATACGGTCGTTTCTTTTGCCATGGCTTCGAAAATTGAGTACAGCTCCCTCCAGCGGGATGTGTCCGATGAGGACCGGGCCTCTGCCGAAAAGAACATGCCGCAAAGTGGGTCTTTGCCGTCGGACGGACAGCTACACTATGGCGGGACCACGGCCGAACGCATGTTTAGGTTCCAGGATTTCAAGTTTCTCAAGATTTACATCTCTTGCATCTTGGTATACCTTCTTGCTGCGGTGGCGGCGGTTGTCTGGTCGTATCAGGGACCCGCGGTCGACAGAGACTACTACATGCAACACGTCTTTCGCACGCCAGACTCCTTGAAGGTCGATCAGCTTTACTCTGGTATCGCCCTCTCAGCACTACTTGCCCCGGCGGGCATGTTGGTCCAATGGATCATGCACGACTTCCGACACCTTCGACTCTTCGCTCTCACGGCGCAGCGGCCGGTTCTCTTGGCGGACTTGGACAAGATAGGAGACGACTCGAGTGCTTGGACGCTGCGGATACTGGGGAAATACTCGTGGTGGTACGCCGTCATGCAGGCCGCGCTCATCGTCATTCGCACCTCGATCGTTCCCGTCGGCACTCTTATGCTCACGACCGGAGCTTATTACGAAAACATCACCGGAGTTGACGTCGTCGGAATGCCCATCCTTCCCTCAAACGACTCCTCCGTTACGAGATTGGCCAACGCGATGGGTTGGGACGGGCAGGGAACCTTCAAGCAGACTCTTGATGACAACGACAACTTCCTTTCGCGAACCGTCTACACCTTTGTTGGGAACATCGTCAGCCAAAGTGCCCTCGTCGACGTCTTCTCGGGCGTCATTGGCCCCATTCCGACGCACAACCTAACCTTCAACGTTAACACGACCTACCACGGCCTTATTCTGTATCACTGGGACGCCAACTGCGAAGCAGCGACCGAAATACCATTCACCACCTCCGTCAACGGCGTCAACGCTTCATACACCTTTACCCTTCCCGATTCCACCAACCAGACGATCGATCTCACCCCCCGAAAACAGGAATCGCAGAGCCTGCGTCTCTGGAACAGCGCAGCCAACAACTCCATCAATAACGTTCCCATCGGTGGCACCACATACTTCATCTCCGCAGGCCCCTCCTCATCCCTCAAAGCCGAGACTCGCACCAATGATAGCAGCCTTACACAGACTGCCGAGGGTCACTGGATCTCCCGCACCAAGTGCACTCCCGAATTCTCATGGGAAGTCGGCGCCTGCACGTTCAACGGCACCTTGATGACGGATTGCGTGGGCAACCCGGGATCGAACACCACAGCCATCGATACGGCGGCATTAAACGTGCTGAAGGACTACATGACTGCCATTCCCTGGTGGATCTTCCGCGAGCAGCTCCAAATCGTTGACAAAACGATCGATACTCTCTACGCGATCCCCACATCAGCAGACTGGGGCCACTTCTTCGGCAACATTGCACAGTCCATCGCCGCCATCTCGACGGCAGGGTACTTTGGCACCGCCAGCGTGCCTGCAGTGGCGAGGGTCAAGGAGGATGTGTACATCATGCGGACAGTGGTGCTGTGGATCGTGCTGGCGATGCTGAGCGTCGTCTTCCTTGTCAGTTGTCTGGATATATGGAGGAGCAAGTCGCGCGGTCTGCCGTTCAGAGCAGCGACGTTCTTGGCTATTGCGAATGCCGTTAGAGGACCGTGGTGGGACCAGGAATTGCATGGAAGCTGTGCTGCTGATGAGGTGACGATGCAGAAGAGGAGTTCGGCGTCGGTCATGTTTGGGGTCGATGCGAATAATCCGTATCACTTGGGGTTGCTGCCGGCGGTGCTGCCAATTCAGCGGGATAGACCGTACTTTGGCATTGGGAGGCGCAAGGGACCGGAAAGATCATAGGCCACTTGGAAATTACATCTAAAGATTCACCCTGATGTGAGGCATCGATGTTGATGCATGTTCTGGTTCATGTCTAGTGATCTCATCCCACTTCATCTACACGCCTAACTCCAGTCATCACCTCCTATCCCTTCCAGCCTTTGTACTCCTCTAAAAAACATCATCTACAGCCCTCTCGTTTTATCAAAATCACTTGCGAACTTCCCCCAGAGGAATGCTCATCCCGTGACGCCCGCTGTATTTGGAAACCTCGGCCGGCTTCCAGCCACCACGCTGCAAGAGACTCTCGTCCTCAAGACGGAATACCTCGACCTTGAGTGGGCGACAGCATTTGATCATCTCCTCCTCGCTGTCCTCGCCGAAGCCCCAAAGCGAGAGATCGCCACCAGGGCAGGTGCCTACGATACCAGTCAGTCATGTGCTCACAGCTGTTTAACAGCTTTCACCAATCCAGGCTGTTGGATCCAATGTAGTCGCAGCGCAAACACGCTCACAAGGAAAAGGAGTAACACCTACTCAAAGCCATCAAAAGATCCTGCTCAGCCAAAAACTCAAGGTGATCACCAGGTTGCGCAGGGCAGGGGTTCATAAAGTACCGCCCCTGCTCATCCAAGCCAGTTACTTGGAAAATGTTAATCACGTCATGGACATCCTGCTCGTTCAGCCCGTACGGCAGCACCGCGCGCGTCAAGTTGGAATGACACTGGAAGTTGTAGTTGCCACCGCTGAGAACGGTGTTGATGTACGGATCGCAGCGCGTGCCGAGGAGATCGTGCACACGCCCGCCGTGCTCATCCTCGCCGTACCAGTCCAGAGAGTCCTTGATGATGGTGGCTAGCGGGCGCATGTAAGGCAAGTTGGACCAGAGGCGATCGCCCGTCGAAACATGGCTGGCGTGGAGCTGCTTGGTGCGACTCGCCCAGAAGCGTTCGCGGGGGTTGTGGGCGTTCCAAATGTTCAAGTCACCTGTGGTCGGAATGAGCACCCCTCATTCTGAGAAGAGGAGTCTTTATCTTTCATCTTCGCGACGTACCGACTTGAGGACCCTCCGGTGTGCTGATCCTCACAATTGAACCGGCGGGTGCTTTCCATGCTCTTCCTGACCGAATTGGCAGCGTGAACTCCTCAATTAACACTCTCTTTGCCTGCTGTGCGGATCCGTACAGCTCCTTGTCGACTGTGAGCACCGAGCCGGCGGTCGGGAGATAAGCCGGAACGGGCTTCGGGATCGGCTTCCGATCTTTGAGACGCTGCGCGGGATCCATGTCGGCGGCTGACATTTTGTCACTTCTGTTGGCGATTCGGTCGAGTGAAGGAGAGGGGGGAACTTGGCAGAGTAACGCTTTGAGTCAAGAAGGAACGCGAATAGCTTGTACACTATGAACGGAAGACGACTGAAGTTCTTATATCATGGTGCTTATGGCATCCCGATACCATCAACCGGGACAACCCCGCTACTTTGGCACTTTGGATACACAAAGTTCCTTACGTAAAGCCTACCTTCGGAGGTGGTTAAGGCAAGAGACTCCGACAGTAGGATGACGGCCGATGCCGGTCCTTTACTCGTGCTGTCTCCACTCCTCCAACGCCGGCAACTCTCTGCGAAGTGCGCTTGTTATCAAAAATGCGTATCAAACAAGCTACATATGTCTTGTGGACGCAATTCCGGCGCCAATACAACTGTATTCACTCGCTGATTGTGCAACTTGTGCTCTTCAGCATCATTATACCAATAGCTGCAATGTGCTCAGCTGTAGACGCGTCGCGAATCGCCCTCATTCGGGAGCTGATCGATGAGATCCAAAAACAAAAGGTGTCACTCAGTTGTGTGAGCTACGCATTGCCTCGTGGCGGAATCGAACCGCCGATCTTCTCATGTCACTAGTACTAGTGAGACGCTATACCACTTAGCCAACAAGGCTTGACTGCTGCGACGAAGAGTGCTGCTAAGGACCTTCAGGCTTGGGCTGGCTCGGTGGGCCACGACTGACGATGGAGTCTAGAACGGCGGCAGAGAGAGTCGGGCGATGCCTCTTCAGCGACTGATAGGCTTTTGGTCCACTCAAGTTACAGACAAACTTGAAGAAAGTTTCAAAAAGCTTATAGAACATGAATCCGGAGTCTCTCTTTAACAAATGAATTTGTGGCGGAGGACTCATAGTGCCGGACAGTCAGACTCCCGTGGAGGTCAAGAATCAGAGGATCAGATCCATCATTCATACTAATGGTAGATTGTTTTGAGAAATGAGGGCTCATGAGATTATTCCTACAACTTATAAGGCGGTCATCGAAACTTTGAAACCCCAAGCAAATGCAGGGCAAAACACCTTCATACTAACATAACACTTATCATCTTCGGAATTTGAGTTAGTGAGATATGGTTCTCAGATCTTTATACTATACTCGTAGATTAGATTATGAGAGGTCAAGGGGACCGTAGAAAGCCTCCTCCAGAAAAGGTTCTGTTCACATTATACGATGCCGTATGCGAATTAATTCAATCTCTGAATCTCATCTTTTCGCCGGTCTCTCTATTTTTGCTTGGAGATAGTCCGTACCTTATAAAAGTGGTTATGAATCTTTAGAGCGTCTTGTGCGCTACTTTCTTGCTGTTATTTCACCTACGTAGATGCTGAAAGCGTAAGATATAAGAATTATGGGTGAGTTAAAGTTTGGTTGGGAATTATGGGTTATTACATGTTATTGCTGTCAAGACACTTAGATGAACCATCATATTATCACGTGGTCGATGTATCGTATATGCCGTGGCCTCCTCGACCAAATACTGTGACGAAATTAGCTGAATAGATATGGGTAGCTGAAAGTTAAGATCATGGCTTCAAATTCACTGTTGGTAGGCAATAAACACCTTCAACATCCTGACCCTTACAATCCGCTATAATGACTCAAAGTCTAAGGCCAAATTTAGAATATCAAACAACTCGGGATATTACTACCGAGATTTTTTGACCTTGTGCTATTCACTAGACAGAGTTCGGGCGTAATATAAGAAAGCCTGCTTCGTTCGTCCAGTCACATTATCCCTCTCGGAATTCCAGACCGCTCTTCTGCCTGCTTGTTCCGGGACATCGAATGGGTAGACAGGATCTTATCGACTGCATACGCCAACAACGCCTCCTGCTTCATCATCGAATCCGGAATGACTACTCCTGCTTGTCTGGGGTACTTACACGTCACCGTGTGACACCTAGGGATTCAAGTATCGGGCCATATGTCCTCGGTACCCGCGTTTATTTGGTGGTACTTTGTCAACAAGGTGTGTATGGAGTGGAATTAGCCGGTACAATGTCGTTCGATATCCGCTACATCCAAGAGATGAAAGGACAAAGGCTTTTCAGCGATATCACCCACCATCACGGCAACCTGGTCACTCACTACCAATGGTGTTCTAGAACGGCCCAAACAGCCTCTTGCCAACAGCATTTGTACCAGAGTGAAAAGACCATGTAATAAGTTCAGCAATGACTGTGGAGGTTCGTATCCAGGGTTAGATCCCGCCGACCTTCGAGTGGCCCAACCAGAAGCATCACAAGTCTGGAGGCCTCTACGAATCGGGGCATGCGATATGCGGAAACCAGTGGCTGCTGCAGAAAGTCTCGTGAATTGCAGACCAGTCAGCAGCGTCGAGACGCAGCAGGCGCATGTGTATCTCTAGAAGCGTTGGCTGGATCCGCGTCATTGAGTCAACATCCCAGCACCGGAATAATTACCCTTGAATAGCTAATCGCACTCTAAAATACGCATTTCTTCGTTGATGTCCGTATCCGTCACATCTCATTCCCAGATCAATCCATCCTTTGGGCGAGGTATTCGACGAAGAGCTTCTTCTTTCGGGCCGACTCGATAGTAACCAAAAAGCCACGTCTCTCGGAAACTTTTCTTGCGAGCGAAAGGAGATATCCCAGACTTCCTTCTTGGCTTTTTTGTTTCGTGGTCTGTTCGCACAACACGCCCAGCGGCGCCAAATCTGCTTGCCGCGGGCAGCAATTTCAATCAGCCTCGGAGGTGCCGTATTAGTGGCCTTCCAGAAAGAGATTGGACCTTTGGGCTTCATTGTGCGATGAACTGTTTTCCGTATCCGTAGTTGTTTTTTGCGCCCGACGCCCAGGGACCCTCAAGCAAGGGTCACCATGTCTTCATACACGAGCCTGCACGGCAAGTCCAGCCAAGGCGCAGCACCATAAATGTTAGTCACGCTAGGCATCCAACGTCGCAACCGCAGCTAAGGACATTTGTTGCAACTAAGGATATGAAGGAACATGTGGAAAGTGGAAAAAGAGGATGTGTCAACGGGTAACAAGACAAGACACGCGTCGTGGATGACTTGTGACTGTTCATACCTCGTGGGTTTTGCGTACGATCTGTGTTGCGCGTCAGAGTGTTTCTGCCAGGGCAGAGGATCACCAGTAGCGTGACGCGGAACGGACGAGCGTAAAATATTCGCAGGTCTTGGTGTTTAGTAATGCCTCAACTCCTGGAAGCCTTCTGCGGGACCCGGGATCCTCCTCGGTTGATCACGTATTCTGGTAAGGCAGAGGATCGACCGGGTTGCACGGGGGCTGGAGACAGCAACGGCAACGGGCCAACGGCCAAACCGCGAGATCCTCGGAGGCGGAGTCAGTGTGACAACGTGCCAAGCGGGAAGGGGTGTGGTGGTGTTGTCGGCGGCCTAGGACTGCGCAAGCTACAATGTCACAATGTGGACGGCTGCGCAACAGCGAAGAGAAAACGAGAAAACATCCTTTGAAGATGCGCAGGAACGTGCAAAGGAACGTCTCGTCGGGTTCGCGTGGGGGTGGGACGGTTCTTGTTCGCGTTGCGCTGCTTGGACAGTTGGTTTAGCATGAGCGAGGGCACGTAAGCCCGTGTGGACTCGTCAATGGGAAATCAAAACCGCGGGTTTCGAGACAAAGAGGACCCTGAAAGGAGGTGTCACATTGACGCGGACAAGTTTATCTTCCCGTCTGGCAAACACATGCCAAAATAGCTGTCGCGTACATACATAGTGACTTAAGCTCAGGCACTCTGCCAAGGTACCTTACTCTTGCCAGTAGGGTAGCATTCACAAGAATCCCATCTCAAGGATTTTGTAGGAACTTTTTCCTTTCTCACACTGCCATGTGCGTTACCGTTACGCGTCCAGTCTGTCTCGATCCGGCACAGACACCTGAACCTGAGGGCCGGGCCAGCTGGGGCTCCATCGAAGTTATCCTGATCCATAACTATGGTAACGGAACAGAGCTCCGGCAGTTGTGCACATCACATCACGCAACGTTTGTGGGAAATACACTCAATTTGACGGGCGAGGTTGGAGTGCAATAAGCTTCGGCTCGCTTGCTTAGCTTGCAGTGGCCAGGTTCCATCGCGAGAATCCGTCTGTCACCCATATGGAACTCGAACAGGCCTCCTCCATATCATCAAGTACGGAGTTCCCAAAGTTCAGAGTACCTTTGACCTGGATACATGAGCAGTTATACCAGCTACCTACCTAGGGACGCACGGGGAAAGGGTCCGGAGCTGGGTCCGGGTCGGCGAGGCGAGAAAAGAGGCGAGCAAATCGTCAAAGGATCCCAGGGCCAGCTACCCCCGGCCGCCGCCGTCGTGCCACCACCTACACTCAACTTGAAACCGAAAATCTCCTATTCTGAGCTATCGTGGATCGTGGAACCCCTCGCTACTCTCTCTTCTCTCTGTCAAGCTCACCTCCTGATCTGTGCCTCTATCTCCTCTTCCTCCTTCGTGCCACCTGTTCGAAACTGCGATTCAAGCGACCAGGCTCAAGGGCCACACGGCACACCAACGGGATGCGCGTGATGCACGATGCACGATGTCGACATTGCGACACCAAGAGCCCAGTCCCCTCGTCGGCGGCGTCTAGCTCGCTTACAAGGTTACATTGATCGTGATTGAACCCAGACCCCCCGTTCAGCCGCCGCGGATTATGCGCGCTCTATTTGCTTTCCTGCGCGTGCAGCAGCAGCAGGCCAGCTCCAGGCTGTGCTGTAGATGGTGATGCGACTTGCACGAGTCGGTTTGTCCTATGTTGGCATTGTCGGCTTCGCGTTTTCGGCGAAGGCCTAGACCGTTCTCAATTCCTCCCCCCCCCCCCTTCCTGCGGTGGAACTGTCAAAAGTCAAGTTGTACAACACTGCACAAAGGGGGCATCCAGGAATAGAGTGACAAGAAGGCAGCCGCACTAACGTTGATAGCCGTGAGATAGCTTCCCCGGTGCCGCCTTGCAAATGACGGCTCTCCAGTTTCGAGACAAGTGATGAGCAAGACGACACGTGTGATCAGGCCAGAAGCCGTTGATCTGAAGTTCGGGAGACCTTTCCATTCGGGCAACGATTTCCCACTTCGGGCCGGAGCATGCCCACAGTTTGCTCCTGTCCGTAGATTGGTTTGCCGCCTCGCCAAAACGCTTCCATGGCCGCTTGGTAAAAATCGCTCACTGGAGAAATGGAGAATGGAGAAGGGCGGACTGCACTGATCTGCGCTGTGCCCAGCCCGTGGCCCGCGTGGCTATATGTACAGTACCCTTGATCTTATGACCGCAGCTTCAACGGCGTCGGCGAGTTCAGCCTCTCTTGGTCTCGTCAGATGTCAGTCCCAGATAGAAGGGAGGGATGCCGAAACAGAACGGAAATACATTATGAGCCTGGCTGATAGTAGGGTGCTGATATTACAGGTCGGCCTTGGGGAGGAGCAGAGAGCAGCCATGAAGGAAGCATCGAAATTAGAGTGTAGCTTCGCATATGGGCATCAACGCATGTAATGTACATGAGCATTTGAGAACGGGAATGGCCTTCTTTCAGGAATAGGCGGTTTTTCTGCGAATGGAGTCGCGCAGATCCACTCGAGAATGAGCTTATACGAGGGGTTGGAACGGCGCGCGAGTGGCCTCTTTGATTATGGCTTGCTGCCAGTCTGCGCTGCTGCAGTAATAAGTCACCGGTTAGTAAAGTGAAGGGCAATGATCGCCGGGACATCTCGTATTAGCGACGAGGCATTTCGATCGAGTGTGTCCAATCGGAGGCGCTGAGTTGAAATGACAGTCTGCAGGATTTTTTCCTTCCGGTGCCATTTCTCCCTCATAATCTCATGTGTAGATAGATGCCTTACTGTGGACATGTGAAGGATGCTGGCTTCGAAAGACCACATCAGCAGTACCGAGACAATGTGTTTCTTGGTCAACAACCGTTCCGACTTCCCGAAGCTGCAAAACAATTGGAACACATTCATGGCCAAGGCGAATACCTTCAAAACGCATCCCGCGGCCGACAGTGCCAAAAGGGCTGAATGGAAGACAAAGGGAGCCGAAATAGAGGCAACTTGGGGGCCGTTTCTGCCCAAGGTTCCAGACGGCATGCTCAAGGGCCAACTCAAAATGACGGGAAATGCAGCCTTGGAGGGGCCGCAAAAGTTCGGCTAACTGGTTAAACGAGCCCCTCAAACTTGAGTCAAAATACCCAATATCCAGACTTGTATACCACATTGTGTGCATCTTTCAAACATATTGTTCAACATTGAACCATATAATCACCGCCATGTATCCGTACACTCGCGCAAAAAGAGAGGTCATCAAAAGATTTGATTGCTGGTGGTGAAGTGAATTCGTACGAGAATAGAGTGGCTCGTGTTTCTGAAACACTGTCAATTTGTTCTAGAATCCTATTAATAGCGGCGGCATCCTTGAGGCCCTGGACAGCCCTGGCTGACGGGAAATGGATGGGCAAAGCAAAAATGCGCTCTCCACGCTGGGAGGAAGAGAAGCATAGTTTACGGATACACCATAGTAGAGCAGAAGGGGTCTCAATGGATCAGAAGGTCAGAGCCAAAACCAGAGAAAGAAAGCTCTCAAACACTTTGGAGAGCAAAGAAAGGAGAGCCTGGCCCAAACCCCAGTGCCCCTGGATGATGCCGCGACGGCACTCGTCCTTCCAGACAGTGGACGCAACGGACTTCAGCGAACAGGTCCCCCGCGGGTCCTCCTCAACTAAGGTAACCTTAGTCATTATGCGCAACCTCTGGGCGCAAGTTCTTGAATTCCGTGGCATCTACCTGTACCTGGGTGCTGGCTGGAGTACTACCCAGGTCTGGGCACTGCGCAGAGACTGAGGGGCAGAGAGAAGGGGAACGACATACAAATTCTGGAACCTGGAACCGCCCTGGAGCCGTTCTGGCGCATTGGTCAGTGTCTGGTACACTGGTGCGCGCCCCTCTCCGTGTATCCGTACCTTTTATGGCGCTGGGTCTCTTTGTTCCTTGCCCATTCTTACTCCACAGCCCCGGCAAGCGAAAGGACTGGACACACACTGGCCAAAGGTAGAGCTGCTGCTGTAGCAGAGAGAGAGAGCGAGAGAGGCAGCTGGCAGCAGAGTAAAGGCGAATAAAAGCGGCACCACAGTTTGGGCGAGCCCACAGTCAAGGGACGTGAGATATCCACAGCCCTCGGTCCAGCCATGCGCCCCTCCCTAAATCTCTCTTCCCAGGCCATGGGGAGCCGTGGGAGACGGACAAGGCAGAGTTGTAGAAAGCCATGGAGTAATATGTACATTACCACAGAACCTTGCAGCTCAAGGTACCTGTGTCCTTGTAGATATCCGCAGTACCTTTTACCCAGTACACATGTGTGATGAGGAAGGGCGACGAGGGTCTCGATGGGCAATGGGCGATGGGATGGGATGCTGCTGCTGTGTAACTACAGTACCAGGCGACCATGGCAAGGCCATGTTATTTGTTCGCTGCCCCCTTCCAGACCCCTTCCCCCTCCCGTGGATGCCGTGAGGCGTGAGATGATAAAGACCCTTTCAAGTCCCCCTCCACAACCACTGCTTTTTTTTTGCTCTCTTTTTCTGCCCTCGATAACCCTTTGCTGTGCATCTGCTTGTCTGGAACATTCCTGTTGACTGCGTTGCTTCCTCTCCTTATCCCGTCCAATCTTGACTCTCCTCTTTGCAGTTTCGTCATCACCGCTACCACCACAATCACCACCGCTACAACCAAATCCAGAAACCCCTCCACATCCTCTAGACGGTTCCCTCGGTATTTACACTTCCAGACAAAGAAACTTCCGTCATTCCGTCTCCAGTGTCGACGCCATAGATTTTTAAGGGGACTTTGCCTGCTAGCCAGAGCAGACCGGAAAGGATTCTTTGGAAGATTGATTACACATCTCGGCCAGCAGAAACGGGAAACAATCTACTTTTACTATTAGTAACCCGGTGTCGACGAACCTCCCCGAAAGTAAACGACGACAACATCAGCAACAGTCACGACAAACATCTTCTCTCGCCAACAGCTCGAAGAAGAAGAACAACAACTACAGCAACAGCAACTGGACAACACCCGATTCGACGACAATAACATCGTCGATCAACAGCAAAACCGGTCTCCCCCAAATAACCCCCCAAAACCTTCACCACGGCTTCTCCAGCGATCGCCACCATGGGTTCCCCGAGTGGACCCCTCCGACCCCGAGCGTCGTCAAATTTCATGGGCATCCGCGCATCTGGGTTCCCGCCGTCCATGACGCCGCAAGAAAAGCACCTCTTCTCAACCCACGTCAACACGGCCACGACACGCCTCTCGAGCACAATGGCCGCCAGCGAGACGGGCGAGGGCTACGTGTTTGTCGTCTACTTCCACAAGACCACCGCCGCCGACGCTCTCGCCCTGCTCCAGGCCGCAGACATCCGAGTCAGGGGCCACGAGATCCAATTTTCCTGGCACTGAGAGAAACTTGGAAACCGGGCACTCGTTTACTTTCTTTCTCCCCTTCTACCTCATTTGAGTAATGAGCTTTCCCAGTGCCTCGTTGTGCCTTGATTTTTGAGGCCCGGGCTCCCGGCTGGACTGGACTGGACTTGACTGGACTCTTCTTTTTGTGTGGACCGTGGGTTTATGGGACGGAACTTATGGGCTCATTCTCGACTCAAGCTCTGTCCTGTCACTATGACCCCCGATCCGTTTCTCGACTTCACACACATTTGAGGTCCTGCGTCCTGCCGCCTGCCGGGATTTGACAGCTTTCTGAACCGATTCGAGAGGGATCATCCCGTGTGTTCTCTCTACTTCTGGTTCTTCCCATTTTACTCTATGTCTTTTCAATATTCACATATGCCCCCTCCCTCCAGGCTCCAGACATCTCAAAGAGCAGGACTGTCTTCTCAGAAACTAGACTCCTTGTCTGCTCCAACAACCCCCCTACCCTACCTCTACCCTCCCTTCCATCCTCCAATTCCCGCCCGACCGCCCCGGGACGAATCCTTCAGCGATCCATCCTCCACCCTACCTCGACCAGTCACCACCCCTCCCCCCTTGCCACTCTTCTCAGAGATCTGCAAGTCTAGGCCATCCTAGACCACCCCATCCCATCCAACTTTCCAGGGCAATCATCCATCTCACCCACACACTGGCTCCTCCACCCATCTCACCTTATCTCCATCGAGCGATCAATCACTCAATCACTCAATCACGCCAAAAAAGCATCGTGCTTCTCACGTTTCTGCTTGGCTTACTGGCTCTCAACCCCCCTTATCCCGTATATCCGCGCATCCACTACCCACCACGCAAGCAAGCAAGGGGGGATGCGTTCGGTTCGTCAATGGCCGCAGATGAGCCGCAGATAAACCAAGCCCGTCCAAGTCGTTCGCTCCGCCCGCCCGCACCGCACCGCCCTACTTCTCTATCCCCCGCCCGGGTGGGCCGGCCGGCAACGCTGACGGTCAGGTCGTCGCAGGTGGGAATGAGCAACCCCCGAGAAGGGTACGCCGCAAGGGCAGCGGGACGGGAATTTCGGGAAACATGGGAACGAGAGAGAAGAGTCCCTGAGAAAGACAGCAATACAATCGAGATGAGGTGACGCGGATAAAGGGACGCGTTACGCGGCCATCCGCTTCGTCACCACTCCAGCTGCAACCCTCCTCCCCCCCTTCGAACGCCAGGCTCGCAGGGCCCATCATCCCACTACTGTTTTTTTTTTTTCATCTTCCCACACTTGGCATCTTGATCGATGATCGAACGGAGCCCCGTTACCAGGCCCGTTGTCAATCTCTGGGTTCCTGATGAAGGGTTGCATTCGAATTCGGCAATCGGCCCCAGTGGGATCCCACGGAGAAAAAGAGTACAAACCACCTAAGATGAGACGGCGCCAACGCAATCAAGGACGGATTATCCGCGATTTCATTTTCAAGGGGCTACCGATTGGAGAACATTTGGGCCGGGGTATCAAACGGTGTGTGGAAGTTGGATCGAAAAATCCACATTGGCATGCAAAGGTTAGTCCAATTGCAACAGTCACAAATACAACACTACACAACCTTTTATTTCCTTCTCTTTTTTTTGCTTTTCCTTTACTCATCATATTACGGAATTGCTGCAACTCTTCTTCGGTCTCGCAAGGAATACTCCCCAAGCGGAGAATATCCGACCGCGCAGGCAGGCAACACAGCCAAAAAAGAGACTCTGGCCTTGCATGGCAACATCGGCTGACAGGAGTTCCAGACCAAGTTCGATTTTGATTACCGGCCCGACGTGGGGGAGCATGATGAGGGGACCGGGGAGGGCCTACACCACGAGACCCTGAACGGAGCAAAGGGAACGGGCCTGACTGCACTGCACCACCGTTGCGTTAGCGCCTAGAAGAGGTCAAGGAACAACCCCCGAGCCAGGCCAAGAGGCAGAGGAAACCAAAGGAGGAAACCCAAGAGGTGGCTTGGTCTTGGTTTGTGGTTTGAGCTATTGTCTGGTGCAGCGTACACTGCCATCCATCACCATCACCAAAGACAACACCAACCACTCGACGCAACCCAAACCCCAGAGTTTCCGACGTGGTTGGCATTCACACTCAGCGAGGCTTTGCTTCGGGTGACGGCACCTCTTCAGTGTGTTCTCGTGCAATGCAATCCCAACCATATTGCACCATTCGGATCTGGCCTCATTCATTCCTCTTCACACCGCGGGCTCCGTGGAAAGACAATAGAGGAAACAGAGATCCGCACTCGCAATGCAGTGCTGCCTTCATTTTTCTCACCTTCGGAACTGGATCCGGAATCAGTCAAGTTACCTGTAGACTACTCGTCCGTATTGGTCGTATTTGGAAGCTGGAAGCTGGAGGTGGAGGAGAAAGACCGGTCACCGGCCGCACCCAAGTGCTGGTTGCAGCCGAAAAGTGACCAGTCACAAGATAACTGTTTGCCACTTGGAGCTTGGCCTTGTGTCATTAGATCATGTATCCATCCATACAATGCTTAGCAATGAGCAAACCAATATCAAATGTCAAATGTCAAAAATATGCACAGTCACCCCGGACCAATATTGCGCAGTTCGTCTCGCGGTTCCACGGCTCAGATGGCCCCGGGCAAAGACATTGCTGCTTCCAGCCAATTGTATAGATTGGATCAGAAACATGCATATGGGCGGGAGCTCACACCGGAGCAATTCCACCTACGCTCTTTGTGATTATCATTGGAACCTCCTGGAAGAGAATGTGCAGCCTGCTTCACTCTCAGAGTCATCGCCCGTCACCAAACTCCAGGCCCCATAGATAGCTGCTTTCCGCGTAAACATCTGCCATCTCCCCGCTGGCCGTTGCATTGGATGGATGGGCCGACCTGTGCATTCCGTCCAAAGAACCGTTTGCTCAAAGTGAAACAGGGGAAATTCACATTGCGCGGACCCGAGGGACTGGGTTTCCCTGCGTTATAATCCCATCTCCCCGCCGAGAGCATGTTCAGTGTGCCAGCTTCAAGTCCCTTCATTTTCCTCGTTCCTCTTGCTCCAAACGGCAACAAACTACTACTCCATACATACAATCAACCCGTTGATACCTACCCCATAAAACGTCCATAAAACGGAACTGGACGGGCCACGGCACGGGCCCAAGCTGATTTTGACTTCCTCTCTGATGGTCATCTCCCGGTAAACTCGCATGATTCGCATGGACTGGAGACTTGGGGGAGCAGGCAGCCGTGGGGCATCAGTCATCAGGTAGTGTAGAAGAGAACACAAACGGCAAACTCACCGCGGCAATTCTTATTCCCGTGTCATCCCAGCCCGTTCCACCCCGTCTCCCTCTGTTTCGTGATCCATCAGAGAGTCCCGGAGCCATGTGATGTGGAGGGTCCCCCGGCCTCGGCGTAATCTTTGACGCCGTTCGTGTGTGTCCCAAGACCCTTCCCAATCCTTCCATCTCTTTTCGGACCCCGAAAGCGAATCCCTCGGATCAGACCCGTTTTCCTCCGCGTGGCATCCGTACTCCGACCATCAGACGGCACGGGAGCAACACAGCAAGCTTCACGTCTAACGTTGTCGCCGATGCTTAAGCTGGACTTTTCTTGCCTGCTAGATTTGGTCACTAGTGGCGCTGGAGTACCAATTGGCTTGCTACCTTTGCTCAATCTATCCCTCCGAGAACCTTGTGTCGTGAGACGTAATCGGAGTGAGTCACTCTCGACGCCAGACCACTTCAAGTAGATTCTGTTGTGCCTGAGCTATCGCAGTCTTTGACTCTTTGCCTCGGGAGCGCGCGCCGCCAAGCAAGAGCCGGCTTGCTAGCCGATAACCACGAGCTCGAAGCCTTGATGTGTGAAAGAAGCATGATGCCGAAAGGCTGACTACCTCCGCCCGCCATCCCCAAAGCGGAAATTCTTCAAATGCCACTGGTTTACATCCCCACCACTCAAACCGGCATGGCGGCATCATCATTCACTTTGCTCCATTCCGTCATCACATTCCTCAAGCTTCGTCGTTCAGTCCTGTCTTACCACTACAACGGACCAGCCCGCCCGACGAATAGTCTTCTCACGAATTGCTTACAGACCCGCATGCCCCAATGAGCCTAGCTTTGGACCAGCCACTATCCAGACGGCTTACACTCATGATAGCCTCATCCGTCCAGCGTTACCCAGGAACCTAGCCTTGTTATCGACTATTTTTCGTTGCCCCGACCAGTCACAGCACTTAGAACAGGAAATTTATGATCTTCAGGTCAGGTTTCAATGGGGGAACACACATCGCCGACGGCGTAACATGGTGAATGGAACGGTCGTCAACCAGATGTAGCCTAGGCATGCGCAGGATCCAAGAAAGCGTCAGTGCAGTTCGCTGCGCATATCGAGCGAGGCTTGGGAGTGCATAGAGTTCATTGAGTAGATATAGAACGAGTGAATACCCTCCTGTCTTTCCATGCTCCCCAAGTCACACAGTCGATCATGGTCAAGTCTCTGGTCTAAGTTCGGACTAACATCCTCAATATCGCGAATTGCCAAAATACATCTGGGCAGCCGGATAGACCGCATCAGCTGCTACCTCTAGGTCAAGAGCTTACCCTACCCTTAGAACGATTACATATTCTATTGCAATCACGCCTTACCTGGGTTAAGAGCGAGATCCCAACCGGCAGCGCTCGACGAATAGGTCCCTCCCGACGTCCTCGCGACATCTAGTGACCGAGTATCTAGCCGACACGACCAACATATCATCTGAGGTACTCGGTTTCCTCGAAAAAATGGTGGCCCTTTTTGTCTACGAAAAGGACATGCATGATCCAACTCCAGATATCCCATCTCTCGAAGGGAAGGTCATCTTTATCACGGGCGGTGAGTCTGTTGAGTTCCCATTCTTCCAACTGCCCCTTCAATGCTCAATATGTAGCTTTCGAAGAGAGCAGGGCCTACTTTCCTATAACTTCCGTCTGTCTCCTCTTTCTTCCCTGGGTCTATACGCTCTGTGTGAGACTCAAGATCGAGGGATAGATAGCTAAGGCCCAAGACTATGATCTCACCTCCTGCGGTATTGATGTCCAGCTTGATATCGCAAAGAGCTTTCCGGACTCGCGCGTGAGCTCTATGCCGCCTCATCTCCATCATTCTACCTTATCTCATGTTAGCCGCGACATATTCCTCCATTCGCTTGCCTTCCCGTCACGCTGGTCTTGGCGATATATCCCTTTCGTAAAGTCAACTTCCCAGGAGTATTCCAGTCACGATTCATCCTGAGATTCGCCTCTTTCTCTCAAGTGCTAGATGAGGACCACTCAGGATGCTGTTGATGTCATCAAGAAAGAGAGCCCATCTCCTCCAAAATTACATACATCATCCAACACCTGCTCACCATCCACCCACCGTCATGAGACAAGCCTACACCCACAGCACACGAATCCTCGCCCAACAACAACAATCACCAGCACCGATGGGACTAACAACCACATAGGAACAGCAGGCCTAGGCAAATCCACAATCCTCGCCCTCCTAGCTCACAACCCATCGCACATCTACTTCTCAGGCCGCTCCCACGCCTCCGCCAAAGCCCTCATCGATGCCGCCGCTTCCTCCTCCTCTTCACCAACCCCTCCACCCCTAACCTTCGTTCCCCTAGACCAAACCTCCCTCCCCTCAATCCGCGCCGCCATCAAGGAACACTTCACTCACACCCGCCTCGACATCCTAATCAACAACGCAGGCATCATGGCCGGCGCCCCCGGCCTCTCAGCCGACGGCTACGAGATCCAGTTTGCTACGAATCACCTAGGCCACGCCATGGTTGTTCGAGAGCTACTACCGGTCCTACTACGTACCGCTGGGGGATCTGGATCTTCATCTAGTGACGGCGGCGGCGGCGACGATGCCCCGGCTGACGTACGCATCATCAACCTCACGTCCGTCGGGTACCAAGCCCACCCGCGCGACGGCATCTCCTTCGAGACGCTTGGAACAACACAAAATGGACCGCCGGTTCTGGGCCAATGGATTCGATACGGGTACGTTGCTCATCCTCTTCACCATCCACCCACTCTTGCCCCTTACTTCCCCTAGCCCTCAAAGTCATCACAGGTCTCGGAAAGTAACCCAAGAAATCTCCCAAACTAACATCCCCTCTCACCAGCCAAAGCAAACTCGCAAACATCCTCTTCACCCGCGAACTCGCCCGCCGCCACCCCTCCATAACAACCCTCGCAATCCACCCAGGCGTCGTCGACACAGGCCTGGTAACAAACCAAAGCCGCCTCAACCGCCTCTTCGTCTACCTCCCGCAAACGATCATGGGGTCCTCCGTCCTGACGCCGGAGCAGGGCTGCTGGAACCAGGTCTGGGCCGCGGCGGCGGCCAAGAAGACGGATCTCGTGAATGGCGGGTTTTATATGCCCGTCGGACACTTGGCGGATGATAAGCTGGATAAGGTGGCGACGGATGGGGAGTTGGCTGGACGGCTTTGGCGGTGGACGGAGGATGTTTTGGATCGGGTTGAGTGAGTATGTGTCGGGGTTGTATGGCGTTTTCTACTCACTCTAGAGTTGTGCTAAATGTCGATTTTATTTTTTCATTGAATAACGTGTTTAAATTTACATGGAATTGAACATGACGAAAGCAAATGCCACAATGAACTCAACGCCCAGACCGTGTAAACAGACGGCCAGATCTTTGCTGGTAATTCAAACCGTTCATTAGAGATCGGAATACATTTCGGGTCCATGGTCTGGTGGCCCGGCGTCTCAATTCCCTGACTCCGGAGCCGGGGGTCCGGCCGGCGCTGGCCTCATATCAATCGCCGGGCCGGGCAGAAGTATGTCTCGCTTCCGCAACTGGCACCAAGAGCGTTACACCGGACGTCGAGACAAGATAGCACAATACCACTTTGCCATCGATCGAACCCTGGATGTCCCACCTGGCGTGAGCCCTCGCCCGCCCATCCAATGTCACCTCACACCACCACGTCGCCGACGCGCGACCCCATCGTCGCTTCCAATCATTGGCATTTCCCCTCTACAAGAGTCCCAACAGATCATACCACACCCATCGGATGTTCAGTGGACTACATACCAAACTCTAGATAGGTTTAGACGTAGCACGCCGGCCAGCCGGTGAGTGTTTGCCATCGCCTGCGGCTAACTACGTTCCCTTGGACTCGATCGACTCACGGACGAACTATCCCCAAGATGGGCTTATCAGCCGTAACTATGGCCGCTCATACCATCTCTTAACTTGGTCTCGACTTCTCAACGTCACCTCAAGAGGCATGGCATGCAATGCACGCCCCCTCCCGAATTCCCAATCTCTCATGTTCCGCCGTTCGACAGGGTCGGCCTGTGTGAGTGGTAATACCTACATACGGATACTCTGTGTACTGGTAATGGCATTCGTACTAGCGGCTCCAGCGGACGGAGGCTTACCCCGCCAAACGCCAATTCCACCGCCGACAGACGCGGACCGCGCCTTGAACCGCGTCGACTTGACACATTCGGGGAAATTTGTAAACAAAAAATAACATGAGCCTAACAAGTGGCATCAAACTTTGTGACCGTCATGTCCGGGCCCGCTGTTGAGCGATATTTTGCGCGAGAAAAGTCGGAAACCTTGCAGATGGGAGTCAAATGAACTTGACCGCAGTGCACTCGCTCGTGCAGCACAATCTTCCAAATTGTAAGCCATGCTATCCCAGGCGCACTCTCCTTTGGCAAGGCTCTCTCAAGCCGGACTCAGAAGCGGTGTTACAAGCAGCGCAGAGAACAAGAATGGCGATCCAAGACAGGGCCGCAGTAATGCAACCACTTTCGGCCGGTAGTAACCTGTAGCACGTCCCCCGCGACCAGGTAGATCAAATTCCAGACCAAACCCGCCGTCTCGGGTTGCATTCCTCAAGCAGGGGTGCATAACAAGCATGGGGAGACTGGACTGGGCGACTCGATGGGCGGCACGTGGAGTGTGGGAGTCTTGCGGCCATCGGAGTGACGGAGCGGGAATCATCGCATGGCTTCTGCCATGGTAGAAGCCAATCTTCCCAGCTGCTTCCCAGTGATGGAGGGTCCAGACTCTCGTAAGGAAAAAATTCTCTTGCAACCTTGACTCCATTGTTGCCATGCTTTTGTGTGCGGGCAGCCCTTTGGTTCAGCCCTGACATCTGGCTTTCGATGACCGTCCGATGGGGAGCTCAGGGTGACGGCCAAACTGGAGGGAGAGGTGCAAATCGCGGAGATTGGGGCGGCCCAGCGTGGTGCGGAAGCGAGATAACGTCGGCTTCTTAGCGCCGGCAAGGGGGAAATGGACGTGGGCGTATTCCGTACGGATGCGTAATGTTAGAAACGCTGTGCGGCTGCAGAGATGATCCATCACTGAGCCATCCCAAACCACTTGCCTCTCGTGGTAACACGAATCGTGACTCTCGCCCCGGGGACTGCACAAGTCTTCGGCCACACGACTGGTCCAGGCTGTGGGGAGTCTTTCATCTTAGACCGTTTTACACATATTGACTGACGTAGCTTTCCTCCTTCGCAACGACCATGGTCAACTCTCAGTATCGACGAACGCATCCTGGAGTTTGGATCGTGGCGATGAAGTAGCTAGCATTCAAGGGACCTTCGGCCCCGATAGTTTCGATCTGTCGGCGTATTCGCCAGTCTGGCTGGCCTCCTCTATATCCACACGGTGATGAGCGGGAGGCCATGTGCTGGATCATGGATGGGTGATAAATGTCCGTTCGCCCTGGATTGTGCCAGGATGGAGGCCGTCAAATTCTTGAACTTCCGGTCCGATCACGCCGCCGCGTGAGCCGTGTCCTTTCAACAACATCGTGGGTCATCATTTTACAACCGCATCCCTCGGGATTTTCTGTGCCGTCATCAGTCGATGCCACGTTGGCCCCCGTTGCTCGTCCGTAGGTGCTCCGTTTGGTTGTCAATCTCTTGAATATCCCTCGTCTTCCCCAGCGATCAGCTCCGGGTCAGCCTTGCCAACAACATGCCGTTGAGTGGACCTGGAGACACGTTCTAGCGCTAACAATGGAGAGGAAAAAACACAAGTACTCCGTAAGAAAAAAGCTTTGGACCGTCAAAATCCAATTGTAAATCTTAAAGACTGGGAACGGCCCGGCTGGTAGGAGCGTCATTATCAGACGAACTGGCGCACGGCACATCTTTGATGACTCCATTCTTTCTTCAGTCAATCAAGATGCGACAACCTCAATCTGCGGCTGCACCGGGCCATATCGAACCCAGGCCGCCAGCGTTCATGCCGTGCTGCAGGACCGGGAAAGTCCTTGGAGCAGGCGGGGGAACTGAATCTGTGTTTCTTGTAGCGGGAATTTCCCCTTGGCCGTCAAGGCTTTCAGTGCTCCGTCAGCAGAAATCTCGCACCCACATGCCCATCAAACATTGATTACATTCGATTCGTGCTCAATCTCGATGGTCCAGGTCATCTCAACTTGGCTGACGTGTGTTGGTCTAGCAGGGCTCGACCAAGCATGCTGCACCGCCGCCGACAAAGCGACCTGCGCAAGGCGCTGCCGCAGAAGCAGCCCCTCTGAAGCAGCGCCTCTGGATCTGATGAATCGTTTCTGAAGGATCAATCTCGCTGAGTGCTGCCAAGAAAGTGTATATTTGTTTCTTCAATCTCAAAGAGTTGGACCCGTTGGTAATCTAGGGCTGCGATCCCACTCGTTGGGTCAGTAGCTTTCCCGACCGAACAGCCGACAACCACTCGGCTGGGATTCAGGGTGGACTCGCTTAAGAAATTGCACCTTTACAGAGTCTGAGTCTGCCCATCTTCATATCGCGAAGTATTCCTGGCCGTTGGGCTGAACCGTTTCTGTACGAATAAGCAGTTATCGACTCGCCGACAGCAACGGCAGCTCCGGCGTTCCAACTTCCATACAAGTGTGAAGCATCGCCTTGGCCGGGATCTGCCATGAATGAGATCTGATGACAACATCTGGTTCTCCGTACGGGCACAAGGACGCGCTACGGCATAGCAGTGCAGGAGTTTCCGACACTGTACGTCTTGCAGTGCAAGATAGTTTCTTTTCCAGCATCAGAATAATCATGCTGTATGAAGCTGACGCCGATCCGATTCGAGAATGGGTGAGGCTTCCGACGTCTTCACAAGCTGCTCGCAGGCTTAATATTCGTGCCGCGCTTCGTCCACAGCAGCACGAAGAATGACCGGCACTTTTCTTCAAGCTTCGCAAGAACGAACTGGCAATCGACGAAGCCAGCTGAGCTCACTGTCCAGATGGCGAGATTTAACCCAACCAGCAAAGGCAAGGAGCTACGATCGCCGCTGCAAAGGTAGAAGTGCCAGGCACGGCTTGCTGATTGGCCGCGGAAGCTGGCGGCCAGGTCCGCAGGGATGGTCCAAGAGAGAAAGTGTCGGGAGCCCCACTTCAAAATTTCGAAAGGGGGTGGGGGAAAAAAGATTGTCGCTGTCTGCCTCTGACGGCGTCCGTTTGCTTGGCTAGCGGGGAGTTTGAAAAGTTGACGGCTGAAGGCCAAGGGATCGCTGTCCGTCTAACAGCAAGAAGCGAGACACACCCCCGTGAACGAAATTGTGTGCTTTGCATGAATCGTGAAGTCGTTGTGTTTCCAAGTCAGACACTGCGGAGTACTGCACTGAGTAGATGCTATGAGGTGAATTCGAGCCAATTCTAACGTTTTCGTGGGGCGAAGATGTTCATCCAGTGGGACCAAGAGGCTTCGAGGTGTCTTCGTTGGCTAGCATTGAATGCGCACTGAGTGCCAATGAATCGAGATGACTAGTGATGTCCAGTGGGAGAATTCTTGTTTGTTTCCTGATCATGCGTAAAGGTCGTCTCGCCTTGGGGAAAAGAAGCATGCGCAGCTCGGAATGTCTTTCTCTCCAATGATGACCGTACGAAGCATTCGTAGGGCAGTTATGGGCTGTAGCTAGTAGGGCGGGAACCTCTATTGCAATCGACAGCCGTTTGTTCGGCAAGACCACTCAGTTGCTATGCCGTGACGGGCTCAACAAGCCGGGATGTCGGCCGTAGTTCGAGCCAGAACAAAACCGGACCAGGCACGCATTGCCACCTCCTTTCTACCGCACAAAAGACCAGGTCCACGGGGATGCAGTTGGTAGTCTCGTTGATGTGTCGAATCAACCTCCTTTCAGCCCCGAGACATGAATAGGGTGAAACAGAGCTCGATTCGAAACCAAACGGCCCAAAGCCAGCAAGGACGGGGAAGCCTGGTGATAGGCAACCCGCTCAAATTGCAGCCGAGCTGAAGGTTTGCCCAGGACGTCTCGAGAGCTGAAGAGAGAGAGAGAGTGCTGGAATGCAAGAAGCGCTGCATTGGATTACAGCCGAAACGCGAATCTGACGGAAACGCGGGGGGTTGCATGGCGGCACGGGTGATGTGCAAAGTGGGCGCGGGCCAAAGCTGCCCTGGTAAAGCGTCTCGGCCACTTGGCCCAGGCTGTCGTTCGAGGAGACCAGGGTGCCACAATGGACATTAGTGATTGTCATGGCCTTCGCCAATCTCGTAGACGACGACAAATAGTTGCTGCGCGTGAGCCTAAGCAAAGCAGAAGCTGATGTTTGTGTAACTGCTCGTATCTTTTCATCTGCCGACATCGCTCGGTAGTGCCTAGGTGAGCAGATATCGAGGTCGTGCGGCTGGTAGATTGAAAAGTTAAGAGTCAAAAATAGGGGTTGGTCGAGGGAACACCAGCTGACCGGATCTTGAGCGGATCTTGAGTGGCGGCGCCGAGGGCACAGCATCTACAAACACAGCACGCGAGATGCAGACTGACGACAATGGCGCAGATACCACCGCAGTTCCTGTATCTCATTGAATCTTGCGCCGATCAGCAAACACCAATTTGGCTTGGCCAGACACCAGGTATGAGTGCAAGGCTCTTGAAACAAACTGCAGGATGAGGGCAGCAGAGTATCTACCTGACCTTCTGCTGTGGTTCCTGGTACTGGTCTCATTGTGTTTGGTGCAATGACACCATAGCGGCCCTGGGACGATTTGAGGCTGAACCAATAGACCACGATAGACGGTTGACGAAATTGTGAGGGCCGCATCCGCCCCGTTATTTAGTTGAGAGTTGAGACACCAGAAAAGGGGTCCAACAGAAGACAAGAGTCGCGCATAAGATTAAGTCCTTGGCTATGTTTCTCAGGCGCTGTGCAACCACATTGTAGTTGTGAGTTTGGAGTCGATACGTTTGATCCGAAAGTCAAGTTGTGAACTGCGGTTGGGCATCGCCTTGCCCTGCGTACACTATGATTGCCGCTCTTGAAGCTGCAAAGCTAAGAACTGCCTGGGTTTGGCGAGCCTGGGCAGTGGCTTTCCACATGCTCTTGGATCCAAGACTGCATTGACTGGCTCTAGAGCCGGACATTATGAGCAGTGGACAAGAGCTTGCAACGGTTGGCGCTATAATTTGGTTGGGTGGTGAGACATTTGGAAGAGTTGTGGCCTGTTAGTGCGCCCCTGGTCTCTTGATAATTTGGTCGACACGCCCCTCGTAGATGGTTGAGAAGTCTGTCATTTGTCAGTTCATTTACCCAAAGGCCTGGCTGATACGGATCTGACGCTTGCCCGGCTGGCCAGTGGTTTCTAGTGATCAGCGCGGAAGCATCAATGCAGGCAGCTCTAAGCATGTGCGCGCGTTGACTGACAAGAAGCCTTGGGGCAGGTCGGACCAATTGCTTCTTTTTAAGGTTAAAGACCCTCGACCAGCACGGCGCATCCGTAGGTGGCTACGGAGCATACAGTAAAGCATCTGTCTTGGAACTGCTGAACCGTGTGCTTGCTGGTCTATGTTCAACGGTGACTGCTGGAGATGCCGACGTGACCTGGAAGCTTGAGTACAGCCCGGCGCCAACAAGTAGAGTGATGGAGCGGCAGGGCGTACCTAGCCATGTATTTAAGTGCGGGACGCAGCCGACTCCCGTTTCTGCTAGAGCCACCCCTTGCCTGCGTCCAGCTCAGCGTTTGGAAGAGATGATGGCGATTAAAAACGAGTAGGCAACTCCTTGAACAACTTCGAACGGAACCAAATCGAGAGCAAGAGAGACAGTGAGAGAGCCAGAGGGCCAAGAAGTACGCGGTGGATAAACAGAGGTTGTGGCAAGTGGCAACGACTTGCGAATGTGATAGGTATGCGAACTTGGTGAGGCGAAACGACGGGAAGCATGCGGGGGCCAGGCGATGGAGGGCACGAGAGCGGGCCGGGACTCTTTGAGCGGTGGGCGGATGACTTTGGGAGGAATCTAGGCGGCTCAATTGTCGATTTTTACGATGACTTTGACTCTCGTGGTCATGCGTTTCGTCCGTTTGTTGTCTTGGGCTATAAGAGGAACGGATGGGCATCGGCAAGAACAGACTTTGGTGACAAGCGCGCAGGTGAAAACGGCAACGGCTCGGAAGGGGTCTTGGCTGCGTTGCTGATCAAAGCTTGCGGGCGATGCGAGAGATGTTTCGCTGACTGGCAGCGTATGGTTCGATGGAAGCGCAAGCTCATGCCGTCGTAAGCCAGGGCGGTAGACTTTTGGTGATTGAGATGATGCGATTTGATGGGGTAGGTACGCGAGACTGTCGAGCTGTAACGGCTTTGTGCAAAGACAGCCATAGCCGTGCCTTTTGAGGTTGACAAGACTTTTGAGAATGGGCAAATGCTTCCTCCTACTTGCTAGAAGGGCGGAATCAAGGCGGCTATGGCGGTTATTGTGGGTTGTTGATATTGAAGGAGGCGTCGATCAAGAGGATGGAATTTGGGGCGGTGTCATGTGCGTTCTCTGGCGTGCGGCCATGTTCCTTCTTCGCTCCTCTAGTCCAAAGGCGTCGTGGCGACGAGACTGATGGTTTGTTTTGATGATGAATCCTTACTGGCAGACCGAGACATTGAGGGTCGAGGACCGAAGACGAGAGGGGGGGGGGGGTAAGGTATCTCGTCAAGTTGTGTGGAGGAGGATGGAAGACTCAGGAATCTGCCCGTGAGTGGGAGTGGTGGTTCCAAGGTAGGCAGATTGAGATGGAAGGAACTCTCACAATTGCTTCCTTCCAAGTCCAGTCAGGGCACTTTCCGTCCCATCCAAGCACCCGAGGCAGGTGCAGGCAAGGCAGGATGGTACGCACGAGTACCTGCATCAACGCATCTGCACATCTGCAGCTTCACCTGCCGTTGGTGGCACAGGCAGGCACAGGCACACCCATGTTCTGTCGTCTGGTGGAAGAGCAGGAGCAGGTACGTATCCCTTGCTACTCGAGCTGACTAAGGAAAGAGCGGAGGAACTCAAGCAGTATTTACCTACTATGTAAGGGAAGTAGGAAGGAGGTGATCAGGAGGACGAGTGAAGCGTTTGAGGGCGCTTGCTTTTTTGGCTTCAGATCGTGCAGGAACATCTACACAGTACCATTGACGCCAATCATTCATTAACACTTGATGCATTGAACAAGACACTTCCCCTGCCTCGTGTCTGCTAACCAATTGATGCAATGACGGCAATTCATCACCCGCGGCTGCTGAAAAGGCCAGGAGTAGCAGATAAGCCGAGGGGAACATGCCGGCGTGCAGCGTGCCTGGCGTCCGGAGTACCTATGTATTACTGCGTAATGTATTGTCCGTACGTACCGTGTGGTACCTAAGGTACCTTACTTAGTAGGCGCGGGATGAAAAGAAGAGAAAGCAGCGAGAATCGACCCCACTTGCAATTTTGACATTTGAGTCTTCCACCCCTCCATCACTGCCCGGGCTGTTAAGCATAGTACGTACCCCTGGTTCAGCTGACATAAGGCCACAGGATCTGGGCGTGAAGCTGTTAGTGCTCGGCCGCGGCACACCACCACAATTCCGCAACGCAGCCTAACAGACGCCAACACCCCTTCACTTGTCAACGGCTTTCCTTGTGTCTGCTGCCCACCAATGGGTGACCCAGCTTCTGTCCGCGCTACGCTCTGCAGTGTCTGCACACAGTGAGGTAGCGACGTAGCGTGCAGTGTTCAATGGCTAGCCAGGTCCCTTGCATTTCGCATCCGGGGCCAGACCCAAGCCAGACAAGTGCCAGGAACAAAATGCCAGGGGCACGGGGAGTCGGGCGTGCATTTTGCAGCTGGCTGCCAGGAACACGTTCAACCATCTATACTAAGGTACTGTACTACCAATGGAAGTACGTACTCCGTACAAGTAGGTGAGGTACTGAGCCAGGTCGTGCCAGGGCACTCACTCCAGGTCGGTCCACTGACAACCTCAGGGGGCCTCTTTTGAGTGTCCAGCCGGGGCCAATCCCGCTCCTCCTCTTCCTCTTTTCTCTTAGTGCCGCCATCGTGCCTCTCGAATGAGTCTCATCCCTCTCATCCCGTAGCCCCGTCCCTAGTCGACTCTCCTGTCTGGTGAGCCGATGAGATGACGACTGTTCCAGCGCATTACCTGTTAGGACGGCCATGAGAGTAGTGAGCGGGGGCACTGGGAATTTATTCTCTTTTCATCCTACCTGAGGTTGTCGGTGGACCGACCTGGAGTGAGGATATTTTGAGCCCTAATGTTAGCCTCACCTCACTCCAATACTCACACTTATCCGTACTTACATCCACTATGTAGTGAGGTAGTGTAATGCTCACACACACACACTCACATTCAGTAAGGCACCTAGTGTAGGTAATACTCACACTGTCGATTCACTCTCATCAGTGAGTGACCACTCACACTCACTCATTCCCATTCCCAGGTTCCCACACTCACAGTCCACACTCATAAACCCAATCTCATGATTCATCCCACACCCCTCTCTCACCCCCCATGCTCCCCCACCCCCTGCCTCGACCATCACCATCCGTCCCGTCGTGCAGCCACAATCCCAGTCCGCCTCTCCCCGTCCACGCCGTTCTCCCTAACCTCGCACACCTTCGTCCTGTTCACAACCCTCACACCTCTCTTCCTTCACACAGTACTGCGTATGCTCACATCGACGAATCTCCTCCTCCTCTCCCCTGTCGCCCTCACACCGTGACACCCACAAACCACCCCCCGTTCGTGGCTCGGATTCTCCAATTTCTTGTGCCTGTCACCCTGTCCCTGCACTGCGTCCGCAATTCTTCTTTTCCCTCCTTTGGGCTCCTGGGTCACTCCTTTCTCTCCCGTCACTCGCAATCCAATCCAATCCTCGTCCTCACCCCAAGACAAATCGTCTCCAGTCGTTTACTTTGGCTTCCATCGGCCTTCCTTGCTCCTCGCCTACCTTCATTCTCCCCCCCTTCTCTTGCTGCCCTTTACTTTTCCCTCTCCACCAAGCCACGAGCCTAGCTCTGAATCCGATCAGCGTCTCTACTAGTACACTAAACTGAACCCAAGTCACTCGTTGCTTTTCTTTCTCTTCTTCTTCTGGTTTCCCTTTTGTTTGCCTGCCAGGAAGAAAACCCAGGTGACGGAAGGAGAAAAAAAAAAAGGTTTCCCAAGAGAGGTTCCCACGTTCCCACCCGAGTCCTTCTTTTCTCGACACACACAACATACCTTACTCTCACACACACACACTCGCTCTCTCTCTCTCGTGCGCCTCTTCCTTTCCGCCGTCTTCTTGATTTCGAGTCTTCCAATACGACAATATCGACGCTGCTCGCCGCCCTGTCTGGTTGACCTCGCCTAAAAAACCAAATTCGAACGGCATTGCGAGATCCAGTATCTCTGCAACCTTTGGACCACCCAAACAAGATCACTCGACCGGGATTGTCGAATTACCCCCGACGGGATTGCTCCCTTTCTTATCAGCAAACCGCGATTCAGCCATATTCCACCTCGTCTCTCCACGGAATTTATCCACCTCGCTCGCTACTGCCAACACGTTAGGCCTGGTTCCTACACCTCGTACAGTCACCAGACTAATTTCGACGCATCTCTCGCTGCCGCCAGCCTATTGCGCAGGACACCATTGGAATCTGTGTACGACCCTGGACTTGGAGGAAACAGAGGAGTCTGATCTGGTGTACACAACACACCAATCCTCCTTCTCGACTTGACGCTTTGGATTTTGTCGTCCAAGCACATCTCATCTTCGCCAGCAACTTTCTTTCTCGCTGAGACGCTTGAAGGAAGGAGGATCGACGCTGCTTTGGGTCTCCAGGAGCAAAAAAAAGGTCTACATGCGACGTTGACAGCCTGGACACAAACTCCATCTTGCTGAAACACTCCCGACACAGCGACATCTCTGATCCAGGTACGTTTCTTGCTCGACATATCTGCTCTCTCCATCTTTCCCATGGCCCGCCGCCCACGTACCCGCCCCGTCTTTGATATTTGTTGCATTTTCTCCCAGAAACCCCGGCAGACGCTTTCATCCCAAGGTCCCAGCTGCGACGAGGCTCAAGCACAGCTTTAAGCGTCTCCGACGACTTACTGAAGTCAATTGCTGCTTGGCCGCCCCCAAAAGCTGAAGAAGCCGTCTAGAGCTGAGACCGGAACGTGGTCGTGTGTCCAAGGGTTCCTGTCAAATCTATGCTGACGATTCTGCTATTTGTGTCTAGCCATCCCGCATCTCGACTTCAGACGCACTCTTGGCCAATCGTCCCGAGCGAACATTGCCCGTTTCAAACAAATTTTCGCTCTTCGTCCCAACTTCTCGATCTACCATCCCAACCACCATTAATGGACACCGCTTAATGAAGAGCACCGACGCTTAAGCTTGATAAAATCGCTTTGAGAAGGAAAAAAAAAAGGAACTGCTTGTCGACCCTACGCACACAGCTCCTCTGCCGACGAGGCAGAACACGATAATACACAATGAACAGATTTCGCACCAAGAAGAGGGCGAAGGATGATGCCGCCTCTTCTACGCCTCGGGCCTCCCACGAATCAGAGTCTCCCGCACCATTCCGTTTATTTGGCAAGGGAAAGAAATCACAAGAAGAAGAGCCTAAGAAGGAATTGGATCTCGAGAATGCCTTGCCCCACAGCGATGACTTCCGCACGAGTCTTCTCATGACTGGGCTTTCTGCACGCTTCTCTATGCTGAGAGAACAAGACGACCCGAACACGAAAATCGGCAAGGCCAGCGACGACAGCGTTCTGTTTCCGAAGCGCCAGTCGAGGATGTTAGACTTTGGCTTTGGGCCTGGTCCCAACGGACTGTCGGACATCGCCGAGGTCGAGTCAATCAGAAAAGAAGTCCCATTTAACCGGATGGATTCTTACCACTCTGCTGATGGTAACTCCATCTCGGGAAGTGTCATGGACCGAGCCAAGCCGGGAGAAGGCAACAACCTATTTGGTGGACGCCAAAAAGTGTACAAGCTTGGTTCTGGTGCTGTTTCCACCAAGAACCTCGACGGCGGTGGCATGAGTGGTCGCGTTCTCTATGATGACGATGTTGCAAAGTCAGCCTTCCAGAAATGGAGGCAGACGGAGAAGTCTAAGCAGCCATTTGACGACGAACAAGACCAGAAGCCCTCGAGTATCGATCTCCCTCGCGCGGAATCACCTCCACCGCTGGGCTACGACCGCAAGAGAGAAACCAACTCAACCACATCATCAACACCGTCACTAGGCCGCAATTCCACGGCCGCCACCTCTGTCATGTCCCAACCAACGTCAGCAGCAAAGGATTGGCAGTCGAACCCGACGGCACCAAGTTCGGCATCAGGCACGCCCAACCTTGACCGGAGCGTTACCCGAGCACGACGTCTTTACGAGACAGGACTCAACCATGATCTCCAGGAGCAACAATCTTCGGCTCTATCGCGAATGGACACCCTTTCTCGGCAGCGAACTCTAGGCAGCAGGACCCCCGACCTCCAAAACGGACCTTCACCCACAAGCAGCCTCTTCAGCGATCGTTTTGGCAATGAGAGGAGGATCTTGGCCAAGGGAAGCGCTCCGAACCTGCGATCCGCCAGTCCTCCGACCATGGGATCGCCAATTGTCCCCATGGATTTGGGCATCAACGTGCCCACAAACTCCGAACCCAAGTCTTCCTTTGGAGGTGCACCTCCTTTGAGCCCGCCCATCAGCGAAGGAGAGGAGAGTTCTGTTCTCCCCAGTGACCGGGGCAAGGCCACTGCTATGGGGCTGTTCCAAAAGCCTCTTCACTCCTACGACGAGTCTAGATATGCTCAAAGGCAGCTTCAACTCCAACAAGGCCGAGAGACGCCGACCAACAGGTTCCGCACAGAGTCCAACGCATCACAAACTACCGGCCGATCCCGTTCATCCTCGTCGGCTCAGAGGCTGCCGGTTGAGAAACCCGAACAGATAATTCGTACAGAGCCGACAGTAAAGGAAGAGGAAGCTGGGCTGAGCTTTTACGACGATTCACTTTCTCCCCAAGATGACGCCACAAACCCAGCCGCTGCGTTCCATGGCGCCACAAGACGCCCTGCTGATCGCGACCATCCCGCACTCAGGGACTTTGCCGTGCCAACACCGCTCTCACTGAGCACCGGCGCGTCGATTGAGCCGTCGCCCGTGTCCGATCAACCTTTCACTGCCGTATCCGCCGAGACGACCAGCTCGCCTCAAGACTCTCCGACGCTCCCCTCGTCCGCCGGCCTCAGCGGAATGGTCCGCCAGCACCTGCGAACCGACAGCGCTACTTCATCCATCTATGGCTCAGCGCCGCAGACGTCCAACTTTGCTTCTAGGTTTCCTCTTGATCCATATGATCCCAAGTCTATGGCGGATATGGGAGTGATGGCCAACCCCTGGGAAGTGCAGTCGCCAGACTGGGCAAACCCGACTTTCAACGATCAGAAGGAACCGGCAGTTCCTGAGCCCACCTCGCAGCCTCATCAAACGCTCCCATCAGAGAACCAGCCAACCTCAGAGCGCAACACAGGGTCAAGCACCGAGATGGAGAAGGAACACGACGAGTTTGCCAACCAACTCGCTGACCGCGCGCGCCGAGTTCGTGAGAGACTGACTTCCTACGTGGAGTCAGATCGTGACAGCAGGTCCCTCTCACCTCACCCCGTCGATCGTACAAGAGAGCCATCGTTGCCCCGTCCGAACCCATTGGGCATCTTGAGACAAAAGACGAGCCGTGGTTCTTTGATTGATCGCAACCGCGAGAACCGCGTCGATAGCCAGCACTCAAAGGCCATCAAGATGCTTGGCCTTGCGACGTCAACCATCAGCAGTGCTCCTAGCCCAAACAAGTCAAGCTTCGAGGAGAAGGAACCCCAGTCGCCTGTCCAGGAAGAGCGCGAGAAGCCAGCGTTCCCCAGAGCTGAGACAGCGCCAGTCCTTCCCACGCACGAGCCGGAGAAGGACAAGGAGGACGACTCCATGCACGCTGGACTCCAGGCATTCAGACAAGCTAGGCGACGGCTGATGGAGGCTCAGAAGAGCCCGTCAAGTGTCCCTATCAATCCTGGTCAAATGCCTGGCTCCGCATCGGTTCCGATAGTTGGCCCACCTGCGTCTAGGACCGCACCTAGTCGCGAGCGCACCCCCGGTCCGCGATCACCATCTCGCGAGCGCCGGCCGCCTCCCGTCACCTATCAGCAGCGGGCACCCAGTGAGGAGCCGCAACCTAACAACGGCTCTGTCCGCGCGCCCTCCCGCCCTCCTTCTCGGACTGAACGGACTGAGCGTGACCGCAGCGGCTCTGAAGCTAGCAGCGGAGACCGGCCTCATCGCCCAGCACGCTTGCGTACCGGCACCATCTCATCGCCCCACGAAGAGCAGCGCGGCATGGTGCCTCCTCCGGTTAGACCTCAAATGCTGAACTCGCCAGGCCTCCCGGGCACCAACATTCGTCGGTCTCCGATTATGCCTCCTCAGCCGTACCCAGCCGGAGCGGGTCAAGGAAAGTCTCTCGATCGGTCTGCATCCCAGGGCAACCTGGCAGTTCAGTACCGCCGACGGGGGCCTGAATCCGGCCAGCCTTCGCCCATTTCCCCAATGGCTCCCATCCCGTCGCCCTCCATTCCCGTCAGCCAGTCTTCACCGGCTTTTGTCCCCTCCCGCCGACCTTCCGCACCTCCTGTGCCGTCGCCCAACATGGAGGCTGCACCTGCCAACCGCCTCGACGAGTCGATGAAGAGAGTGGTCAGGAAGAAGGATATTTCTGAGCCAACCTTTGTCTCTTCAACCTCTCGCGTCCCAACTGTGGCTCTTCCTGAGACCTCAGAGTCCCGGTCCAGAAGCGGTTCTCGTTCGCGATCTGGCAGCATCCTCGGTGCTGCCGCCTCGACGCCAAATCTTCACGGCAGCGTGCACGCCAATATCAACGCTCCGCCTCTGCCTCCGATCAACCCGAAGCGTCGCAACATGATCGGTTCGATGATGGGCCGCCGAGGAGATGAAGACATGGGCGCAAGTTCCCCTCACCTGCCCTTCTCTCCTCCACCGATTCCCAGTGAGCACGGTGGCGACAGCCACAGCGCGTTCTCTGTGAGCGACGAAGAGGACGGCCCTGGTTCCCAGCGGCGCCGCCTCCGAAAGACCATCAGCGAAGCCAATGGCATGAACATGCGTGCCCGACTGACCCGGGGCAACAGCCCTCCCAATATGCCTGCGCCTATGGCTATGACAGGGGGCTTGAACAACGGAAACATGCCCGGCGGCATGATTTAAACACTCGCAACACAATCGCCACGAATCTCTTCATCATCTCTAATCATCTCTCAGTATCATTAAAATGGATGGCGGGGTGTAAAAAAAGAGAGAAAATGGACGTCACGAATCTATGAGAACGTTTTTGTATTCTTGCCATTGATTTCGCTTTATTTCAATTACCCCCAAATGTCGAACTCTACGACTACTGGGTTCCTATTGTATATTTCTTATTTCTCTTCATTCTTTCCTCTCTGGCGGAGGCACTTAGGTGCTCAGCCTTTTCCACGTTAGGCTCTCGGAGGGAGCATTAATAGGGCGGGGTCCTCGTTTTTGGGATGAGTTTGTCTGCGTTTTGGTGGCGGGCCTGGCGTCTACCATCTGGAGGACTGCAAGATCAGGTGGAAGGGCTAGTTCACAGTCATTTCGAGCCTGAAGAATACCGGAACGTTTCAAGGCTGTGGCTAGGGTGGGTTGGGTGGTAGTGCAAAGGTCGGAGTCTGATATACCATAGTAAGAGAATTGGGAGCAATCAAATTCATCAACATCAACATCTGACAAGAAGTCCAAGTGATACGCAACGTGAGAATTGGCTGAGCCTTAAAGCCAAGTGCAATTCGGACTTGCGATTATTGATTCTTCTGCGAGAAGTACAGCGTGATGTTCGGCGGAAATGCCGGGTTCATCCTCCGCCAGGTGGCCGGTGCTCGGGGGCTTGCTCCGGGCAATACGCCGGCTCCGCCAACACATGCCGATCAACTTCAGATGAACGCCTTGATATAGCCTCATCTGCACTGCAATGAATACAATCGAGCGGCATATGAACGGCTCAAAGTTTGATCAGAATCTCGACTAGGGGTAGAAAGCAGACCATGAAGATGCTCGTTGCTATGCGTGTGCTATTCGCACTCTGCCTCTTGCTCACACCAACGTGGGCGATTTGGAACCCCATCATCTCGGGCTTTAACCCTGATCCTGCAATTCTTCGGGTAAGGGATGATTATTACATTGCCACGTCGTCGTTCGAGTACTGGCCTGGGATGCCGATATATCACAGTAAGATCAACGATACCCATCGTGCCTGTAGAGTGCTATATGTGCCATGTTGACAACGGTATGAATAGGCAAGGATCTGTCGAATTGGACGCTTATTTCGCACGCCTTGACGAGGCCGGAGCAGCTGCAACTCTACGGCGTCCCAACCGGAGCTGGTACCATGCCCTCAAATCCTCCCCGCGAGCCCGCGTAGTAGGTGAATCGCCATCGGGAATCATCTCACTAACATCCCATCGCAGGCGCCTGGGCACCAAGCCTAGCCCACTTCCACAACAAATTCTGGCTCTCGGGCATGACGCGCTGGACCTACGACCCCGCAGCCCGCGTCTGGCCGCGGGTGTGGTTCATCTCCTCTCCGGACCTCGTAACCTGGTCTGACCCCGTCTGGGCGGAGCCATGGGGCATCGACCCAGAGCTCTTCCATGATTCGTCGACGGGGAGGATGTATTTGAACCTGATGGCGCCGAACAATAATCAAGAGAGGCTTTGGGGGATTGCGCAGTGCGAGGTCGAGCTTTCGAGCGGAGCGTGCGTTGGAGAGTACAAGAGTCTTTGGAATGGGACGTTGGAGAGGAATGCGACGGCTAGGCCTGAGGGGCCAAAGATGTTTTTAAGGGGTGGGTGGTATTTTCTGGTTATTGCTGAGGGTGAGTCTGTGATGGTTTTGTGATGCTGCTTTGCGTGTGATTGTGTGTGAGAGTGGAACTGACGTAAAGGGTAGGCGGCACTGATGAGTTGCATCGAACCTCGATTGCTCGGAGTAAGTCGCCCTCTGGACCGTTTGAGGCTTGTCCGCATAATCCCCTCATGTATAACGGACAATGGGGGGCCAAGAACTTGACCGTGCAGTCGACGGGGCATGCAACGTTTGTAGAGACTGCTGATGGGGAGTGGTATGCTTCCTTCATTGCGAGGCGGAATGTGAATGGCAGCTCGCCACTCGGTATGTGTTATTGACAGTTGTCTTTTGATGGACCAGCAGGCGGGAGTGTTAACTTGACGGGTATAGGCCGTGAGACCTTTCTGGCGCAAGTGACATGGGAAAACGACTGGCCCAGCATCAACAACGGGAAGCCCATTATTCTCAGCGAAGAGATCGGGCCCAAGACAGGAATCAAAAAGACACCAGCCCCCTGGGTAGACGACTTCTCCGGAAGGGAGCTTGATCCCTCGTGGTACCAGCTCCGAACGCCGTACGTCAAGTCGTATGATGTTGATAACGGGCATTTAGTCTTCAAGCCTAACGTCTTTGGCTTGAGTGATCGGGATCATCCCGCGGCGGTGCTGCGGAAACAGACGTCGTTGAACATGACGTTTTCTGCGGAGCTGCTTGGGTTTGAGGGCGTGTTGGGGCAGAGGATGAGAGTTGGGGTGTCGAGTTACTTGAGTGAGTTCCAGCACCAGGATATCGGTGTCAAGGGGTGCGATGGTGGGATTGGGGGTATATGTTTGTATACCGAGGTTAGGAGGAATGGCACTGTGGATGTGAGTTCTTTCCAACCCCTTGGGCTTCCCCTTTCTGGCTCTCAACTCTGCGAAGTTCATCGACGACGGTTTGCTGACTGGACGTGAATGATAGTACTGGCAACGACCCCTCAACTCATCGTCTCTGCTCAAGAGCGGGCTGAGACTTGATATCCGGGCTGAACCATTGACATACCACCTGGGCTATAGCATTGGCGATGGCGAGCCGACGTACGTCGCAGAGATTGATTCGAGGTGGCAGGCTTTCGCGCCAACGGGGTATTACGTGTTCACTGGAGCATCTTTTGCGTTGTTTGCGACTGGTGAAGGTGAGCCGTGGCCTTTTGATGGGCCGAAAGTTGGGTTCACGCGAGTCGAGGAGAGGTATCACGAGGAAGACATTGGAGACTATGACCGTTGGTGAGATTTCTAGGCAGTTTCAAAGTGATTTGATATTCGGATTCAATTCATGTTCAATTTGCAGTCACTCTCTACGAGTTATATAGACATTGAGTGACTTTGGCTTTGGCAAATTGTAAGTGCGCACATCCCATTCCTCGTCCGGGGCAGCGAGCTCCAGGCGGAACCGTCTTAGCAGCGCAGCCATGACTTTGCAAATTTCCATGACGGCGATATGGCGGCCTAGACATATGCGCGCGCCATGAGAGAACTTCGTCGTAGTCAGCATCGATCTCAAGAAGCAATGACTTGGCGCGGGGCGACTTACATGCAAACAGCCATTCTCCATGTCAAAGGCTTTTTCGGGCGAACACTCGAGCCAACGCTCCGGCCGAAACGCATCCGAGTCTTCCCCAAAGAGCTTCTTATCTCTTGCAACGACGAAAGGCGAGACGCTCACTCTGGTACCGCCCGGGAAGAAGCGGCCGCAGATGTAAGCTCCGCCCCGCGGTACATGGCGAGGGAGGGTGGTGGTGACGGGCGGGTGAATGCGAAGGGCCTCTTTGATGCAGGCCGCGAGGTACGGCATGGCCTGGTGGTTTGTCTCGCTGTACCTTGGCGGGTCCGAAAGTTTCCCTTTCAACGCAGCCTCGTCGATTTCGGCCTGTAGCTTCTTGTAGGCCTTCGGGTTCTTGAGGAGGTGGTAGATGAAGGAGTCCATGGCAATTCCGGTGGTGTCTGAGCCCCCGGATAAGTTGACCACGGCATGCTGGAAAATTTCGCTATGCGGGAATTCATGAGGCCCGATCTTCTTCTGAGACTGGATGATCTTGTCCATGATGTCGGAGTGCACTGCATCCGGGTCCGCTTCACGCCTGTCCATCTCCTGCTTGGTGACATCCGAGATGACCAGCGCCGGAGGACTGAGGAAGGCGGCTACCAGCGGGTTTCCGAAGAGAAACTTGTGTAGCTCTGGCATCATGGCTACCGTGGATGCGTACTGGATGAAGCTATCAAGCACCTTCGTCATGTTACCCACGTCAGACTTGGTGTCGAGAAACCCGAGGCGTCGCGAGAAGCTCAGCTCCCCAACCACGTCAAAGGCGTACCACTGGAACCACTCCACCATGTTGATCGGGTCCTTGCGCTGCGACGGCGGAACTGAAGGGGCTATGGCAAGCTCATCCATGCACTGGATGAAGAGCGTCACGGTTGAGTCAACAAACTCTTCCAAGGCCATGAGGGCAGACATTGAAAATGCGGTTGCGACATTGCGCTTCATACGCTTGTGTTCGACTGGATCGATGACGGAGAAGAGGTTGGCATCATCTGGTGTTGGGAAACCAAACATGTAGTACCAGTCTGTCTTTTTCGTGTTAGTGGTATTTCAACTACACAATGTCTTTGAAGGATGCGGGCTCACCTTGACGAATCTTTGTTCATTATCAAAGATGATGGGGATAGCTTCCGGGTCTGCGATGGAGACTTCGTTATAGGCGATGCGGACGATGGGGCCTAGATCTTTCAGCTTCAACGATGATGGCACTTTCAAGTTGATCTATAGACTGACCGAGCTTCCTATGCGCTTCTAGCAAGTTCCTCTCAGCACGAGTCGACAGCACTTGGAGAACCTTGTTCCAGCGGCTCACCGTTGCTAAGAAGTTGACTGCAGGGATATCTCTGAGGCTAGGAACATAACGGCGATAGAGAGCGCGAAGGACAAAGATGGCCAGGCAGGCTGCGAACCAGTGGCTCGAAAGCACCTGGAGCAGGCTTGGAAATGACATTACGCTGTTTTCGTATTCGTGAAGCGCTGCCAAATTGTTGTTGGTTGTCGACTATGGATGAATTGAGACATCATGATATAGAGACTCCATGATTCGCTCGGTACTCAGAGTTTCGGTATCGGACTATTCCGTAGTCCTTTAGAGCTGTGTAGTTTCACAGTCACGCGTGCTAGGGGGAGATAGGATAGATCCATGGGAAGGCACTTTTGATGCTGTAGTACTGATGACCCTGCATATCCCACGTAGAGCTGTTGCATTGTATATATATCTCAAAAGCCTATATTTGGACCGATGTAACTCCCCGACTCGGACGCGCTCCACAAGCGCCTTAGGGAGCATGTCAATCGTTAAACATCGATCTTGGCAGCCTCTCCACCATATCTAGAAGTCACAACCGAGTAAAACAGGTTCCCCGCCGTCATGGTCAGGGCGGCGGAAACGAATTGTTCTTCCTTGGGGGACAAGATTCTTCCTTTGGCAAGCCTCTCCAGCTCCTCCTCCATCTGAGCCTCCACTTCCAGCTGGACGCTGTAAGTAACGGCCTTGGCGGCAGAATAGGAATCCAATCCCAGAAGACGACGCACGACGTCGACCGCGTTGATCATGTAGCAGACCTTGCCATCTTCAAGGGCCTTGAGCTCCTTGTCGAAAGAGGCCAGGTCATTGACCAGCGACACGTGGTCGCTAACCAGACGTAGGATCCTGGTCATTTTGGGATCCTCAATCACAACGTCGGACTCTAGCGAGAACTTCACACATGCCAAGATATACCTTGCAAACATTCGATTATTAGATGCGGGTCGGACCTTTTGTAACGGGGAGAAGCGCGCGCGTGGGAGTTTGATGAAGGTCGAACTTACGGGACACCCGCATCAATGTTGCGGTAGGACAAGTAGTCTGCTAGGCTGGCGAAGTTCGACTGGGGCGGGACGTGTCGACAAAAGTCCGCCAGTCGGTCAATCACCTCCTGACCTCCGTTGCCGGCGATCTTGTCGTGACTCTTAAGTCCATCTACAACGTAACCGATGAGCGACTGCAGCTCGGACTTAGACTTTTCTTTCTCTCCGTTGGATTCAAGGCGACGGAGAAAGTCATCACGAACAACGCCGAGCTAGAATCCTGGATCAGTGATAGCTCGGTGGTAGGGATCAGCTTGCAGGGATGGACATCGTACCTTGTCCTCGCTATGCATCTCCCATGAGTCTGCGGAAGATTTCAGTAACCTCGGAAGGCAAACAGGTGCGCATTCTTACTTACCGTCAAAGATGACAATGAATACAATGGTGGCTGCGAGAAGGCGGGTTCTCTCCTTGTCTGCTTCAGGGAACAGGTACGTGGCAAACTTGGTAAAACGGTCCTCTTCCGGTAGCAAAAGTTCATGAGAAGCAATCCTGGCAAGGGATCTGCCGTTAAGCTTGACAGCAGTGAACATGCTGGAGTCAGTGCTGAACAACTCCAGCAGCTCTGAAGAGATTCTCAGGCCGGCCTCCCAGTGGCGGCTTTGACGTGCCTTGGGGAATCCCGTCGGCCAAGGCAGACCAGCTCGAACGGGGAAGATGTCAAATCCATTAACATCAGCAGGCTCGTCTTCTCCGTCAGTCGAAGGGGTACGGCACTGCTGGAGCCGCTCGTATCCAGCCAACGGGAGTAGAGAGGTCTTCAGATCCAAATAAGGAGCATCGTGGAGCCAGTTGTAGGCGTACGCAATTTGCGAGACATCTTGCAGATTCTCCAGGGCGCAAATGTTCCCTGTGAAAGCATGAGAATGGGATGATATGGGGTAATACGGCACTAAGAGGCGAGCTTACCGTTGACGGAGGACACGCTCAACTTTGATGAAGGCATTTGGGGACTTGGTTATTTCGTTTTCTTGACCTGGTGTGTAGTGTTACATGAGAAACCTTCCCCGTCAGTCGTTGAATTTTGACCCTCTTATACCCTGAAGCTCATGAGCTACCAGACCGCCCATAATCATGAGAAACCGGGCCATGACTTAGAAGTGAGGTTGTCAAAGGCATGGCTAAACCACGGAAGAGCGTCCCGGGGAGTTTTGCAGGGGCCGAAGATCCATGCAGCGGCCATATTAAAATGGAATGGATCTTGCAGAATAGCAATTTTTGAGTTTCTTGGACGTGACCCGAAACGTAGGGGTGGCTGATAAGAAGGCTCGGGTTACTGCTGCCAGGTACTTTTGTTTACATGGCTTCCAAAGTAGTATCATAGAGGGACCCGCAGCCCATTTACAACGAAACATCCTTGATAGGAAGCAGTTCAGACCCTGCTTGTCTTCCGAACACTAGAGGGTTTTCATATATAATCAGATTCTTAGATTTTGGTCCGCCTAATCGCTACCGCAGTGCCATATCTTGATTCTTGAGCTTGTTGTTAGAATCGTCTGTTCAAATCCCATCTCACACCATCTCACAATGGCTTGGAACCATACCAACCTCGCTCTTGACGTCCTGAAGTCTGGCATCATCTTTGCTACCAGCCTTTGGGTCTTATTTTGGCTTGCACAATGCATTAGAAACATCTATTTTCACCCACTCTCCAAGTTTCCAGGACCAAGATTAGCCGCGGCCACCAGTTGGTGGTCGACATATCAGCAGACTATTGTCAACAGATCGATGCATCATATTTGCATAGATCTCCACGCTAAATATGGTACTGAGCTGTCCCTGACTTTGCGTTAATTGATCATTCTGACCTCTGAGTGCAGGAGATATCGTCAGAATTGGACCCAACCGGGTAAGAAGCTTGAAGCTTGACAAGCTCTTGAGCGCATGGTTACTAATAACGATATAGCTTCACTTCAATCATCCTGACGCATACTCTGGGATCTACCGCACCAAGTTTGACAAAGATCCGTTCATGTACGCTCTTCTAGGTGGCGACGGCGCCACTGTCACTTTTGTCAAACATCAAGACAACAAAAATCGCAAGGACATTCTCCATCCATTTTTCGCCAAGAGCTCTGTATATAACCGAGAGCAACTGATACAAGAAAATGTAAGGGCCTTCTATCGCACCTAATCAAACTCCTCCGTTCTATCTCTCATTGAACTGGTGTTTAGATCGATAAGTTCTGCTCAAACTTGGTCAAGCATCACGAGAAGGGCGTCTCTGTCAACATGAGTCTCGCTTTTCGGTGTATCGGCCTAGAGACAATCACGTCCATCTGCTTCGGCAAATCGGCAGCTTGCTTCGAGCATGAAGATTTTCATAGCCCCATTCTGGAGTCAATGGAAAGTATTGTCGCCTGGTTCATGGTGTTCAAGCACTTCTGGCTGGTACGGCAGCTCATCCTGTGGGTACCGGAATGGGTTGGCCTTACCTTCTTCAAAAGCGGTGTGGCATTCGCGCAGATGAAAAACGTACGTGTGTTGTCTGTTCCTTTTAGATTCTAGCAACCCCATTAGTGAAGACTCCGAGTAACAATTTTCTCGGTTTTAGATGTTTGCAGAACAAATCGACAACATCAGGGCTAATATAGGCAAGCCCAGCCCGGATGAGAAACCGATCATCTACGGTGCCCTCACAGATCCAGAAAACTATAGCCCGACCAGACCTCCACCATCTCGTGCCTCATTGATGGAAGAGGCAATTGCACTTGTCATCGCCGGAACCGACACAACTGGAGCAACCATGACGCTTGGCACGTATCATCTGTGCAAGCACCCGGAGAAGTATGCGAGATTGAAGGCAGAGCTGAAGGAAGTATGGCCTGATCTGAAAGGCCCTACCCCAACGGCGCAGCAGCTGGAGAAATTACCCTACTTGGTAAGTGTTATACCGTCATTCCTGAATAAGCCTAACACGAAGGCAGACATCGGTCATCAAGGAAGCACTGCGGATGGCGCCGACAACTACCTCTGAAAACTCTAGGCTCGTGCCTCCTCACGGAGCAAGGATTGGCGGAGCAGAAGTCCCCGGAAATGTGAGTATTGACCTGATACAGAGTAAGTGATTAACTGAAAATTGACACGAATTCTAGACGATTGTTAGCATGGGAGTCTTGTTCCCCATGCAACATCCGTGGGCATTCGAGACCCCCGATCAGTACATCCCTGAGCGATGGCTTGTAGCAGACGAGGCTGCTAAACAGAGGCTGGACCGCTATTTTGTTCCGTTCTCCAAGGGACCACGCAGTTGTCTTGGTATCAACTTGGCGTGGTGCGAATTGTACCTAGCTTATGCAAACCTTTTCCGTCGTTTCGAGCTGAGCCTAGACGGAACCAAGGACGATGATTTCGATTGGATCGATGTTGGTCTTGCATTGTTTAAGGGTCACTTGAGATGCTATGTAACTCCAGTCACAGAGTAGATTCAGTAGAATAAACATTGCGTGTTTTCGTGTAAGTCAGTAGTATAAACTTGGGTAAGCTATTCACCAAGTGAAGACGAGCTATCTACGGCACCTGGATCTGTGCTCTCAAGATAACCTCACCATCGCTCGACATATATCCCATCAACTGCGGAATGGTGCCAGTACATAGGTCTCCGGTTTTATCCAACGCTGATCCCTTTGTGAACTTTTTTATCGGGTGCGTTAGAGGTTATTAAGACGGTAATACTAGAAAATGATGAGGAAGAATACGTGATACGTAACTACCCCTCATACAGAATACGTATCTATGTGCTGACACCATTCCGCAGTTGATGGAATAGTCCGCAGTTCGCGATTCCATTGTCACACCCGGGTTACGGTTGTATTCTTAATTGAAACCACACATGCATTTCCAGGATTGATGATCCTTGGATCATGTCGGGGGGCCCATACCAACTCCGTTTGAAAACCGAGGCCCTCGTCAATAAGTAGGAGTCAACATTACACTGCCTCGTTGCCGATGCCATGACTTGACAAAAGTTCCTGCAGAAGTGAGCCCTGTGATGTACTCTACATGCTCTTCAATTGCTCAACTTCGCATTCGCATTTGACCCACGTTCTCCTACCGGAAATCCGGTATCCCGTGGAGCCCGTAGCCCCCGGGGAGCGTTCAGCATTTCCGGAAGGAAGATCCTGGCAGCCAAGTCAGATGCAAGGTCAGACGCGATGCGATTACATGTTATCTGTACGACATGTAAATCTCATGTAGCGTTTCAACAACAGCCGAAGTTGGCCGAAGACTATCACAACATCTGGGGTGAAGGGAACTTCTGGCACCAGGGTCGCGAATCAGAATGATACTCTTGTCTGCCGACCGTAAAAAATCAGCCTGTCACCGCCAACATTTGGACGTCCCCAAGCTGATCCGATTGTCTAACAGAATCCTTGCGAGCTGATAAGAGTCTCGGCATTTGACTTGGAATTGTACATCGGGCTCTCGTTGACCGAAGATGCCAAAGACGCCTGAACATGTTGAAATTTAATTGACTCATTGTTATGTTTCAAGGCAACGTGTATGCTGAGGCAAATAGAGACTCATACCTAATCTCGGCTCGATTTCTCATATCAAAACCCCCGCAGTGATCTACTTTTCTCAAGTATTGATATAAAGCAGCTGGAGAAGATGTCTGCAGGCGTAAGAAGCTTGCCAGTGTGCCCATGGATTAATCCATCATGGCCCTCACAGGACTCTAAGCCTTCACAGGCTGACCGCTAGAGCTGACAGCACCACAGTTGCCGACAATGACATTGTGGCTGCCGTCAAAGTTTTGGCCAGCAGACCAAGTCTTGCAGATATGGGCTGGCTGCTTCGGGTCGCTGCAGATGTCCACCCAGATGCAGTCGTGAGCGATAGCCTGCGCAAGGTCGGCGACGTGACCGCATGAGACCTCGAGGTCGTAGTAGTTGTCATTACAAAGAGCGATGGCCGCTTCACCGACACACTGAGTACGAATGCACTGGCGGGCTCTGACCTTGCAACCTCCGTTGACGGCGCGGAGATTGTTCACGCCAGTGTTGACCTGAAAGCCATCTACCTTGCCCCACTTCTCAAAACAATTGGGGGCCTAGAGCATCATCTCGTCAGGTACTTGCTAGTCAAAGTGAAGATTTAGGACGTAGAACGTGGTACATACTCTCTTCTCGAGGGATCGCTTGGCGTTCTGGGCTTCGTTGTAGAAGGCCGCGGCAACCTCAGGGGTGGCGGGAGTGCCATCCACATCGACGGTACCGTTGAAGATGGACGTTCCATGCTCCTCCTGGACCTTTGCTTCGATATCCTAAGGATGTTGTAAGTAAGAGGAAAGTTCGGCACCACGAAGAAAAAGAAATCATCTTACGAGTAGGTCGGATCCCCAGACCTCAACCACAGGGCCGCCCTCTTCCAAGACTCCAACCCATCCGGCCTCGCCAATGGGGAAAGGTAGAGGTGCGTATTTGACTTCAATATCGCGAGGCTAGACACGTCATGTCAATTATCCCTCAAACATTCGGCTTCTTGCTGGCACTCACCTCGCTAGGGATGGCTGAAGAGGCCGCCGTTGCGACGAGGGCAAGAATGACAGCGGAGGTCTTCATAATGAATTTTGAGAGCGAATAACGGTAAGTGAAGCTGGATTGGGGAAGAGAGCTGTGATAAGCTTGATGATTCGAGAATTGATCTTACTTTGAGCGAGATGGCCTCGATTATTTATATCGCTCTGGTTATGAATAAAGCCCGCAGTCATCGGCGCTGTGATAGATATCTGCAACGTGGAAGCTCAGAAAATCGATAATTAGTCGTCGAAGAATGGAACTTTGGTGTTGAACGGGAGCTTTCCTGCCTCACGGCCCACTTGATTGAGAATATGTATGCAAAGCTGACGGCTGCGGGAGTCGTGTTCATCTCAATACACCCCACTTATCGTGTGTGGGAACTTGGGTTTGGCTACTAGTAATGGCATCAAAGAATGAGGCTTATTCTGTTCCCATCCTTACGCTTGGAAGTATAGGCAATGCCACGCCCTTCGACGAGGACCAATTCATGACCCGGAACTTCTGTCGACCGGATCAAGTCAACATCGAGAGGGTCCACACGGGTGACTACGCTCTTGATGTTCAGCTTCGATCGTTCGAACAGTCAACTTTTACCCCCTTCAGCAAAGCAACCAGTTCCTCGGACTTCTCTTTTGGTTGTGGGATTGAACGTTTGTAAGTGGTGGAAAGTTAACTACCCCTGAAACTATCGGACTTCGGTTGTTACTTTGTGGCAACTGGCGACCCTCCCAAAATCATCCGAAAGAACTTAAATCCTTTTAAGCATGTGAGCTTGTTTTCGAGCGACAAGATGCTCCGCGAGTGATTCAATGAGACAAAGCTGGGCACCAAGCAAATTATCTCGGTTTCTCGACCGCTGTATCATCATCTCAAGTTCCGTTTTGTTCAGCTCATAGCAAAGAATTTTGACAGCATTGAAGACCTTTCAAAATTTCTACAACATGAGACGTGGTCACGCTGCTGACGGAAAATATTGGGACTTTCGTCGTGGCCCCTGGCTACAATCCGGGGTTCGCTGCTGAGCCGCTTTCTCGGTTCGCCGGAGCCAGGGACGTTGCAAGGCTGCATCTAGGTTCGTTCCGAGGCGGCCGCGGGTTGAGAGATTTTTCTTCGGGTCTAGGCATGACCACGCCGCTCCTAGTTGTTGAGGGCGATTACAAATGGAGAAGGTGTCAAGACTTTCAGATCACCCCCAAACACCAAAGTTCTTCCAACGATGAATTTTGAATCGAAACCTCAATGTCGCAGACGGCCAAGAGAAATTTGATCTCAGGCCCATGTGTAAGTGAGGCGACGATGCCTAAATGAAACCGCTCAAGTCAGCCTGGTGGCCGGTCTTCAGAGCGTTTAAGATGGGACTTTCGTAGCACAGCATCTCACTTAGGTAAAGGAAACAAATGCAGCTTATATCGTGACCGGGATCCCAACATGCAGGTAGCCGGGAGTTGTCCAAATCCTCATAAGCTCACTCTTCTATAAGCACTAGGCGCCTTCTGTTCCATTTGAGACTATTTCACTGAGCTCAGAATATGGCCGGTGTCCACAGCAATGTCAGAGTCTTGAGACTTCGGAAAATCTTATTAATTGAAGCTCCATACAAGTGAATCCTGTTAGAGTAGCTAACGGCTTCAAACATTGCCTCTTTCCAATGAATGGGCCAGTGTCATTGACTCCCTGTTGCTACACATGCTGTCACCTTAATTTGCATGCCATCCATCGAACATCTTTCCTTTTCCCAACTCTTCAAGTTGTTCACATATGATACCTAGCTATAGTCACGATCGGAACCTCGAACCTGAACTTGGAAGTCTCAAGAGGGCAAGATGTCCCTGTAGGCTCGGGCTTGTTGACATCCAATCCCACGGATGCTCGCAGACTCATCAATTCATCCGCAACATCCAAGTCGTAATCAATGCTATGCACGATTCAAGAAGTGCACCATCGGCATTTCCTGGATGCGAACGCGGTAAGGTCTGAATCCACGGAAATCCAACTAATGCGGGTGACCGGCGACATTTTCAAACAAAGACAGCCCTATAAAGGGCCTCGGTGATTAAGTAATTCCCGAACCCAGTATATCTAGGTAGCCTAGGGCGAAGATTGAAAAACCAGGTTTCTGGTTCCTGGGTTGGTAAATTTCCGACAGTTCGGATCACCGAGCATCTTAAGCTTTCTACAACACGAGTTGAACTTCGAGCATGTTTCACTTTTTGAGGCGACACAAGAAAGTCCGGAGCACGAATCGATCGATGGCCTGTCGTCAGCACAACATGAGTCGACCGCCTTCGAGACATGACATGGTCAGCCTGACTGAGCTGAGTACCGGATTCGCTTTCGACTTGTCTGCATGTACACGAGTCTGGCACTTGAATAAATACCTAATTACATAGCTGCCCTCAACGCGAACAATGTTCAGCATTACGCAACTTCAAAATCATCAATCAGACCATCTACTTCGAAAAAGACCTCTCAAACTCGTCGTTCACATAGCAGTCATCATTGTAATTCCGCACAAGACTTCTGCAACCAACATGAAGACGATTCCGTATGCTACCCTATTGATGGCTTTGGCCTACTTCGCAAATGCGTTGCCTCAGACGCCTGGAGAAGGTTGCGACTCTGTTGCGATTTGTAATGACGTGTGTGGCAAGCAAGGAATGGTGAGTAACAACCACCAAGCATTATTGGCGTCTCAACTTTCAGTGAATCGTGAGTAAGTCTCTGGTCTGATCACAAGTCCTACAGAAACGCGGCGGATCATCATGCACTGGAAACAATTCGGCCAATTGCGTTTGCGTACCCAAGTGATTGCGACATCACCAAAGACATGAGTTCTGCTTTTTACGAGAATATGGAGCCCGGAGTTTTGCGATTTACTTTTGTCAGCATATTGCCAAGACTAT